TAAGTTGATTTATGCTACCAAAGCCTGTAATTCCCAATCAGTTGGGGGCTAAAGCTTGGCTAAAACAGATGGCCAAAGGGATATGGCGAAGCCATAGAGAAGGTGTGCAGATAATTTTGGCTGAAAGAGAATGGAGTGCGAGGAAACACATATAATAAATAGAAGGGTATGCAAAGGCAATAGGCCTAAGGTAAGACTCAAATAGAAGTGAAGCAGAAGGGAAACGGAGAGCTCGAGAGAGACATTAAATATTTAAGTAAATGAAGCAGAGATTGGATTATGTTCTGGAAGAACCCAGAAATATGAAAGGAGTATGGAGAATGGAGTAAACAAAATCCATAAATTAAATACTGATGCAGATTTCAATGGAAATTCAACTAAAAACGAAAAGAAAGAAGACGAAAATTCTGAATTTCTGTTAGTTTATATTTCAATTAAATATTAAATTAAATAAATTAAATACTTAAACATTAAGTATAATGTAGAATTAATCCTAGGATAAATAAATAGATCAAATAAAATATGTTTTTAAATATTCAAGTAGTATAAAATAGATTCCCATGCGAAATATAATGGCTGGAGTTAATGTAGCTTTAAAAACAAAAAAGTATGCTAATAAATAGAGGTATTAATGAGGCATCCTGGAGGGGCATGGGGCATACCAAAGACTGTGACGATTCAAAGTATTCGAACTTTAAAGAAATGTATGGAAAATAAAATGCGACTTGGATGCCCGTTAACTTTGTAATTTGTAGCCCAAGTTTTATTGGTTTAATTTAATTTTATTTATTCCATAAATCAATGAAACTTAACCTTTCTCTATGGCTTGACTTGCTGCAAAGGGTATGATACACTTCGTTGCCGTCGCTTTCATCCCATCTGGAGTGCTACATTGTCCTTTGCTGTTGCATACCCTTTTCCCTTTTCGCTTTTCCCACATTCCCCACTACACACAATGGCAGGGCCCCATATTTGGCCACAGCAAACATTTATTGCTTCAGACCCTACCCCCGTTCAAGACAAAAACAAACCCCACGAGGAGCCAGCCGCACAACGGCAGCCAGCAGCAGTACGGAAAAAGTAAAGTAAAAAACAGAAACCGGGAGTGAAAATCACCATACAAATGTAACGAACAATGAGGTACAATGCCGGCAAAAACGGGGCATACAACAACAGGCGACAATTGCAACGTGTCAGAGCGACGTTCGTTGCATATTAGTTAAGCACACACACACCGACAGACAGACAGACAGACAGAGAGAGAGAGAGAGAAAGAGTGCCACACAAATGCATCTTACTGAGCCTCAGCCCCGTGCCTGGGTCTATGTCTGTGTGTACGTACACGGGGCGTATGCGCAACGTTTTTCTTTCTTTTTTTTTTGTTGCGTTCACTCACAACTGCGTTGAGGAGCCATATGCCAACATCCGGTTTTCGCACGCGTGCACACACACACACACACATACACACGATGAACGATAAAAATGGGGGAGGCAAAGGGGCACGAATAGAGCCGTAGAGTAAAGCTGAAGCGGTTTCAAGCCCCAATGACAACAAATGGACCATTTGGCGACTTACCTTCCACCTACCCCCTACACGATGATTGTTCTAGGCGCAGAAGAAAGTGCTGGCAACCCCCCCTAAAGGATATACAGACATAAACATTCTCGATCAGTCGAAACGTCCACCTATGCATTTGTCGTTGGAGGCACTACTTGAGCAGTTGAAATCACATAAACCTCCTTAATGATCGACTTTATTCGCCAGTCCACAGTCGAACTACAGGCTGATTAGTCTTACTTGGCGTAGGCGCAGTGTTTTTTCTTCCTTTACTGTGTGCATTCCAACTGGCAGATTTCCATGGTGGAGTGCAATAATCGAGCAGGAAGGGCTCGAGGAAGAGCAAGTACCAGAAGCAGCAGAAGGAGAAGGAGAAAACGCAGAAACGGCAGCCGGAGATAAAAGGGAAGTGCACCAATTACGGGAGGATAGGGAAACAGAACTCAAGTTCGTGTTTGGGATGCGGATGCGGACTGCTGCTGCTGCCGTCGCCAACTGTTGCGGTCAATTAATGAACATCACGAGGACGACGACGACGACAGGCCAACAGCGGATACCGAACCGATTCAGATTGGTCGAGGCAATCACTACCACAAAAACGGTTTTGTAACCACAACAACGGAGATTATGCAGGATGGATTGCTGATGACCAAAAGAGCTTCAAGAGGAAGGGGGGAACATCCATTTTCGAAGTGCCCTGATTACGGTTCCAAGTGCCAAGAGAATTATCATTTGCTCAACAGTTCTCAGGCTCTGTTCTCTCGCTCTCTCTCTATCTCTCTCTCTCTATCTCTCTCTCTCTTTACTGAGTTATTGAGAAGCAGCTCTTGGAATCTATTATGGGGTGCTCTGGCCATCGGCTGACGGTTAGTGTTGGATAGGACAGAAACAAGCAAAGAGCAAGTGTTGGACTATGTCTACTTCCACTTCCACTTCCATTTCCACTAAAAATAAGCTGCAGGACCTGCCCTGTTTTTTAGGTCTAATGTTAAGCGCACTTTAATTAGTCTGCTTGCAGCTTGCCCCATTCCAATGAAAAGGGCGGAATGGCTGTCCCTGCATTTGTTGAATAAACAATCGCCCTTAGATTGAAATTGAAAATCGATGAGGGAGTAGTACGGATATATTTCCAACCCCACCTGCTCATACAATGGCGTTTCCAGCTTTTAAATGACTCGCCTCCGAGCTGCTCTGTAACCCCATAAAGTCATTAACTATCCAGTCACAGCCATGACTGACAGCAGTTTTAGTACGAGTATTTTTTGTTTTATTCTATTTTTTCTTCTTTTTTTTTTGTCCTGGTAGCTGGGAAGGATTGAAAACTAATTAGTGACAAGCCAATGCAGCCATCAAGTTAATGCAATCAGTGTGGGCAGAAAGAGAGAGAGAGAGTGGAGCGTGGGTGGAGTGGAGGTGGAGTGGGTTCAAAGGGGGCTAGTATGAATTCACTTCGATTAACGCTAAATTAGCTTTCGCTGAACTAAACTGAATAGAATAGAACAGAAGAGAAATGAAACGAACGAAACGGAATGGAATGGAACGGAACTGAACTGTGGCTTCGGCTCCGGGTGCGGGTCCGGGTCGGGCAATGTGCATCGAACAAAAGCCAAAACTGTGAGTGGCGGCGGCGGCTGATGACGATGCCGATGCCGATGCTGATGAGAGGGCGATGACGACAAAGACAGCGACAGCGACAGCGACAAGGCTGGAGCATTGGTATGTGCCCGGTACTAGCTGTGGTTTGGGGGGGCTGTGGGGTGGTGACACTTATCTTGCTGCCATTCTGTTCTGTTATGTTCTGTTCATATCCTTGTGCATTGTGCCCAGCCCCATTGGCCATGGCGTGGCGTCCAATGCATTTGGCTATGATTCACAATACAAAAGAAGCAGCAGCAGCAACAGCAGCAGCATCATCCCAAGCAGGGCCCTGTAAAAGTTGTGGGTAGCGGATAAATATATGTATAAGCGGGTTCTATCTATACAAGAAGAATACCCCAGGCCAGCCCCAGCCCCAGCCCCAGCCCCAGTCCCAAGCCCAATCTTTGGTTTGGGTGTCTGTGTGGCTGTGTGTCTGGCAATTTGCTAGGCAAAAGCTGACAAAACAAGTCCCTGACCCCAAAATGAAGGCAACAAAAAGCGTTTGGCTGCTTTGTCAGCTTTCAACCCAGCGCCCCTAAACCTACACCCGCCAGCCCCACAGTCAGCCCCTTGGGCTCTATGCTAATAACCAATATTTTAGAGCCAAACCGCCGTCTGCCGTTGAAATTGTCGCCAGCAACAAAAACAACACACAGAAGGACAACAAAAAAAAAAAAAAAGAAGAGAAAGGAAAGGAAGAACAAGCTGGCAAGAAAGGATTGGGGCTTGTGCGTATGTGAAACTTTGAATACCCTTGCAGAATTATGTGGCATGTGTATGTGGCAGCTCCATGACACAGTCACTAGATTTGGGCATCTGTTTTGGGCATCACATCCATCAGCTATCGCAAAGATTGTTCACATGGATGGGGAAATGCTCTCTCTCTCTCTCTGCAGACTGCAGACCAGCATCTGGACACATATCAAAATACCCTTTGGTAAGGGTATACGCAAGAACTTTGTACTGATAGCTGAATCATGCCGCTGACAAAGGAGCCGTGGCTAGGTGATGGCGGGAGCTGGGCGGTTGATGCTGCAAGGAAGAGGATGTCGGGAATGGGAGAGCTTCACTACGAGGCATTAATTTAACAGGATAATTGAAAATGAATAGTTGCATGTGACCCGAACACGAACCGGGAGTCACAACGGAGTCGGAGTCCGGACAACATCCGTAGATGCGACAAATCAATGCGGGAACCCCGGAAGGGACGCAAGATAATAATTTAAAGGGAATTTCCCTTGAGCCGAGAGAGGAATTGGCCATACCGAAATGGTCTGTGCTATTTATTTATGGACCATTTGAAATTCATTCATTCATCCTGCCAGTCCATTCCATTCCCGATAGTTCTTTACATAACTCAAATCTAATTAAATCGATCAAAGTTTATTAGGCTGCATTTGTTTTGGGATCTTCGATTATCCTTTGGAGTTTTTACTACATAAGTTTGATTCTTTAATGGCTGATTGAACGTTTCACTAGCAGAAACTTTTCTGAATCACTTTACCACAAAAAAACCTTCTTTTGTCGATCAAATCGATTCAGTTTCTGATTGTTACCAAGCCAACAACAACTGAACAACAATTTTAATTGCTTTTGGGCATATCTCTATGAACTGAGAAGAACCAACTTCAGAGCTGAATGCAACGAACAGATTTATCTGAACCCTGAAATTTCTGTAAATTCGTAGAACCCTTCAAGAGCAATTTCATTCCGAGGATATTCGTTAAGGCACTTAAGTTACTTGTTTAAAGCATATCCAAATATGTACATAGATTTAAGTTTATATTGATGCTTTATAGCTTACCTTTAGCCACTAGCTCATATGCTTCGTGGTCAATGAGGGCTCTGCCTGGGGCTGCTGCGGCTGCTGCGATTGTGATTGTAATTATTTGGTTTAGATTTCGATTAGATTTGGTTTTGGTTTTGTGTGTTTCGTGTGTTTGGTTTATTTGGTTTAAAGAGAATTTTACATGAAGAATTTGTGAATTAGGAACACTTTAGAATTTATGTTTAGGCTTAGACTGATGTCTGGCTTGGTTTTGGTATTGGTCTGCTTTCTGGTCTGTTCATCGGCTTCTTAGTTTCGCCTCAATACAACATTGGTTCTTGCCAAGTCGTTAATATCGTACAACAAAATTGAACTGGGCAAACAGAACGAGCGAGCGAACGAACGAACGAACGAACGAAGAAACGAAGGGGAACTACGAGTACGGAAACGAAATGGAAATTACACAATTTTACTGCACTACCATGATATGTTTGGTTTTGTGTACTAGTTAGTTAGTTAGTTAGTATTGATGGGTAAATTTAGGCGTTTGATCGCTAGGCGATCACTATTCATAAGTCCCATTAATGTCAGTCGTGTGTGTATGTGTGGCATGTGGCATGTGGCATTCATAAAACGAGCAATCGATTACCAGTAGCTGATGAGGGGAGAAGGTTCGCTTCGCTTGGATTGCAGCATGCAGAATATTGATGGGGTTTCTTGATGGGTTTTTTTTTGCAAGCAAATCGTTTATGTATGAATTTCCTATTTACAGGTTTGGTGTTTGATGTTTGATGTTTAATGTTGAGGGAGGTCGGTCCGAAGTTCAAGCCAATCGATTGCGAATTTTTTGGGGCGCATAAAGAAACTGTTTTTCTTTCTTTGGGTTTTTTTTTTTCAATTTAAAATAACAAATCGAGTTGCGGAAAGTTTGTTTGTTGTGGAAGGAATAAACTGAATAAAAGTTCAAGACATGTTTAGAACTAGGCAGAACATATAAACAGATATGTGTAGATATATATATAGAGAGAGAGAGAGAGAGACAGACAGAGTGAGGGAGAGAGAGACAGAGAGTGAGTGAAAGAGAATGACAGAGAAAGACAGACAGTTGGTTATATATTGTTGTATTTATATTCGTTAATGGAACAGAACACAAAATAATGAAATGTTTTATTTTGGTTGTTGTCACGAGTCTAGAATCTAAAGTGGAGCATGACAAAGGCACGACTGGGAAAAAAAGTAATGATAAAGATATTGTAGATATTTATGCCGCTAGTGGGCCAAAGATCATTGGTAGTGGGAATTGATAGAGGGACTAAGGCTATGGCTATGTCTATGGGCTAGGGCTAGGGCTAGGGCTAGGGATGCTATCATACGAGTATCATATGGTAAGTATATTATTTTTGGTATAGTAGTACTTAAACAGTCAACGAACACACAATAAACATTTCAATTGTATTCTGAAGAGGAGCTCACATTTTGCAAATGACGACATTTTCGGTTCTTTTTCGAAATCTTTTAGCTTTTATCTGTATCTGTATCTTTGTCTTTATCTTTATTTGGCCTTTACTGTCTTTTTGGCATGGTGGCTTGTTTTGGCTATTTGTTCTTGTTGGTGGTATTGGTGGGTGGCATTGGTTGTGGTGGTACTAGTACTAGTTGTAGTAGCGGTAGTGGTGGTTGTGGTGGTGGTGTTGGTAGTGGTGGAGCGGTTGCATTAGCGGTGAACGAGCGAGCTGTGAGGCGTTGTGGCGGTGAAGCGGTGGTTGGTGCAACGTTTTTATATCGTTTCTCTTTAGCGCTCGCGTTCTCAGTTCCGTTATTGTCTTTTCGATCAGTTTGTTGTACATACATACATACATAAATATTTATCAATTAATTAATTATACATAGTTATTGTCAATGTTTTTGTTGTTGTTGTTGTTGCACAGTATTCGATCTGCAACTGCAAAGTGCCACAAAATAACTCAGTTTGATTTTGATATTTTCCAAGCGTTCGTTTCACTCAGCCTCTCTGCTCTCTTTCGCATGGAGAGACACGCAGCTCCAAAGTTTTAAAAGAACTCCAAATTACAGTAAACGTGTGTGGGGGGGGCAATAATACCAGAGGTGCGTGGTGCTGGGGGGTATTGTTCAGTTCGTTTCGTTTTGGTTTGTTGTAAGGCTGCTCTGATGACGTCGGCGACGGCACGGAACAGGACCGAATCGGGAACGGAACGGAACGGGGCGGCAAGTGGTTGAAGTTAAGGGCAACGAAGTGGCGCAAAAGGGAACACGAAAAAAAACAACAACCAGCCCTGTCAGTGGTGGGATGGCGCGGCAGAGAGCGGGCCATAAGAGGAGTAAGCAGCAGGACGGCGAAGAGAGGCAGCTGAAAACCAACCCTCCCGCTGCCGCTGCTGACTCAGATGGAACAGCAGCTGGGTGGGCAGGGGCAGGGGCAGGGACAGTGACTGGGGGCAGGGGTCGCTAGACGGTTGCCCAGCACTTGCCGAAACGAAAAACTACACAAGAAATTAACCAAAGAAGACATACAGCCACACACAGAGAGAGAGAGAGAGAGGCCTGTTCCGCGTTTCGTTTACCCCAGCAATTCGACGAATCTTTGTCCCGAAAACTGTCAACACACTTGGATAACGGCTACGATTGCTGCACAAATTACGGGCTTTGCTTTTGCTTTGAATTTAATGGAATATTAACGGCCTTGTTCTCATACATACATATCTGTATTATTTGCACACTCCAACAATAAGCAGAACAGCAGTGGGGTAACAAGAGAAAGTCTAACTAGTAGCCTGAGCATTTCCCAGTTTCATTTTAGCACGAATTTTCGCGAAACTGGAAACCAGAATTGGGTTGATAATAAACAGAAAACGGTAAACGGTAAACGCTACAACGGTAAATGGTGAGCACTCAACGTTGAAAGAGAACAGAACACACTAAACAAAAAAAAAAAAAAGAAAGAGAACAAAAAAAGAAGAGTAGAAGGGAGAACCGAACCGAACGGAACAGATAACATGGGAAACGGGTGGGGGGGAGAAACGGAGAGCCCTTTCATTGATTTGCTTTTCCATTGAAATTAACTGGGTAGAAGATCGAACCAGAAAGTGTCTAGGACTCTAGAGCCAAGGGCCATAATGTTTATATTGCTGCGACTGATCTGCGAGCGCTGTGTTGGCGTCTCCTCTGGGCATTCCCATTAATAATCACTTGCATCCAAATCCGATTCAATTGGTTTTCATATTTTATTTTTAATTGTTTTTTTTTTTTATTTACGGATTTATAAATTTTTTTTTTTGTAACAAACATACAACAATATTGGCATACATGTTATGTGTGTGTTTTTGTTATTGTTCGCACACCAATAGCACACACAGTCACGCACACACACGCACTGCACACACACACTGACACGGTACACTGGAAAAAAAATACAATTGGGATAGTGGATATGGACTGCGTACGCTTTGGAGTATAATTCAAAGTCGATGACTCGTCCGGAGCGCCGCTCGAAGAAGGACACTTTGTCGAGAATATCACTTTACTGAATTTCGAACAAATTTTTGACTACTGTTGTGTTGTGTCCTTTTCCGCGACCATAACATGTTTCATTCAGGTTCGGGGGCGGCAAGGCTGATTCATTCAAATGCGCCCGCGTTCAAATGTTGCCAGCGCCCGTAAAATGTTGTTCGGCAACAAACGTGTGTTGCTGAGCGAAATAAACGGGTAATGGCACAGCATGCCGAACGGCTCACAATATACAACGCATATACATCTACATATGGTAAAATACACCCCAATTGTTAATATACCATGAAATGTTGCTCAGAAATCAGTTTTGCGCTTCAGCTTTGAGTTCGGAGAGAGGCGAGAGCTCTTACGTCCTGTGAGAGCAGCAGCTCTGTTATCGTAACAGTCGTCTGTTATTGAGCTGATTTGAAAACCATGTGGGATCCGGCTTTATTGTGTAGAATTATTAACTTCGATTGACTTCTGTGAGGAACTAACTTACTTTATAGACTTGAATGTGAAACCAAGACAATCGCTGCCCATCAGAGCCCACACATTAAGAGAAATCAGAGTTCGCGGACTAACAGAAAGCATGGCACCGTACCGAACACTGAGAGAGGGCACAGGGCACTGTTCGAGTACAGCAGAAGAGAGAGCGAGAGAGAGAGTGCGTGCAGACCGCAAAAGGGAGAGCGTGACTGATGGGAGAGCGACAAGTGGCGGTCAATTTGAAAATGCTGGCACTTCCACCTTTTAATATACTCTAACTAAGTGTTAATCGAGGCAAGTAAATGTGCAAAGGTAGTTCAAAATTAATTATTAAACATTTCCGCCTATAACTAAAACATTTATTGGTACAATAAGGAACTCTTAAATTAATTTCAAAAAGTGTTATCGTATGATTGTACTACTCTCTTCTGTGCTCTCTGCCATTCGAAAAACATGTGAGTATTTCAGGATTTCAGCCTGGCAATGCCCCCAACTAGGAGCAGACTTTTGTCTGCAATATTTTGACATTTCGAAGGGCAAAAGAGCGCCATTGATGGGCGCAAGGGGCTCTAGCGGGAGCGGGATTTAGTCAAAATAATAAAAGTTTATAAAATGTAAGTCCGCTCCCGCAACTGCTCCTCCGGATACCGCGCCCCGCGCCCTGCACCGCCTCCCCACCCCAACATAAGCAACGTTGCGTTGTGCGTTGTGCGATGTGCGATGTGCGTGTGTAAGTGCTTAGAAAAAAAGGCGATTGTCAGAAGACATGTTGCTACAATCGACGTATGGCCCCAAAGTGAATGTGTGCGATGAGGGTGTGTGCGTGTGCGTTTACTTATGCGTCTGTGTGTGTGTGTGTGTGTGCCGCACTGAAGCATACTTATGTGCGCCAGCATTTATTTAATTAACAAATTGAATACTTTCTACCACCCCCCCATCAAAGGCAATCCGGAGTGCAAATCATGACAAGGCAACTGTGAATTTCCCAATAAGGTCTAGAGTACTTTATATAATAAGTAGGTACTCTCTCAGGCCCACAAAGACCATCTCGAACAAACACGCACACACACGAACAAGCACCCATACAATCACACATACACACATTCATACACACAAACACACGCACACATAGGGAAACACGCGCGCGTTTATAGGCCGAACACGTTGCGGGGGAAAATTTCAATTTCTGTCTCCAATTATCGAATAAAAAAAATTGTACAATAAAAAAAAATTGCGTTCAAGATTTATTTAATTTGCAGCACCCGCGATATTGTGGCACAATTTTCGTAAATTTGTTGTCAAAATATTATTGCTTGATTACGATTAGGTTATATTTATTTATGGTGGTGGACTTTTGGCGTATTCGAATGCGTACCGTGCTGAGATTCGTCTACGCTGCGAAGTGCTCCAATGCTGGAGAACGAATTTGAAACTGAAACTGAATTTGAATCTGAAGTCATGCCTTTGACATTTGCTACGTGTTAACCTCCAGACAGAGAGAGAGACAGAGAGAGAATCTGTTACAGCAGAGAACGGGTGAAAGACAAAGTTAACAGAGAGAGAGAGAGGAGGACCCTACGCATGCGTCAAAGACACCCCTGCACTATGGGAAAATTCTAATTTTACGGGTATTAATTAATAACTTTTAAACTAAGCAAGATATTTCGATGCGGTTTTTTTATTAATGGTATGTACACTACTAGAAACATTTTTGGAAATTTAGCGTGTTACCGCCCACAAATTTGCAAAAAAAATATTTTTTTTTTAATATCTAGCTAAATATCTCTATTAAAATATATTGACTATAATACTCCTTTAAACATAAAAATAAAGTTTTACTATTGGAAAAACAGATAGTGCACATTCAGAAAAACTGCCTTTAAATCAAAATTAATAGTTCTACAGCATACAATTGGACGTACACCTATGGACCCCTCTGGTCGTTTTATATGTCTCCAAGAACTTGAAATATATTTCCAAGAAATGTGCTTTGAGAACTTGTACTACTACTTTTACAAAATATTAATAATAGAACACGCATACCTACAAAATATTAGTACAACCATTACATAGTAAAAACCCGTGTGATTGCTATCCTTTTTAAAATTCACAAAAAGAATGTTTCGCGTTTTAATATTGGCATTTTGAAACTAGGCCGCAAAAATATTGCACTGCTAAAGCAATTTTAATACTTTGAGAAAATGACTAAATACCCGAAAAATTTAAATTTTCCCCATAGTGCCCTGTTACCTGGGCCACTGGGCTGGCAACACTCGACACAGCTCGGGTGGGTGCACAAGCGATTGGATAAAGCTCAAAGCTTGCTTGGTTGTTGGATTGCTAAGAACAATTTAGCAGCGCTTTCTTCAAGCTTCTTTCGTTGTATGCTTTGAGCTTTTAGGATAGAAGCTAATTTAATCCTTGGCTTAAAGCTTGGGAATAAGCTTTAGGCCGTGCTTTAAAGTCTGTTACACTTTTGTCGAAGTCTTGACTTCAGTGTTCTGGAGAGGTGCACATACATCCAGACATTTCGCTACTCTGTCTTATCAGAGTCAGTAGGTGGTACTTTCTAGCCCGGCTATCATCGCACCAGAAGTAGTAATGAGATCATTGATAGATTACGCGCCTACAACGAATGAAAAGAGACATCCCAAAGGAACTTACTTTAATGATCCGCGAGATGTTACTTAATATCAAACTTCATTTCTTCACAATCGATATGTTTCTAATTTATTACAGGAGGGATAAAAAAGTTTTTTTCTTTTAATAGATTTGGTGATACATTTTTTGTCTTACAAGTAAAGGTCATAGCCAATTGATTGGTTTCTATATGATATTTAATTTTGTCCACCGAAGCCGGTTTATTTGTGCTGCGCAAATCGGCTCCAAGAATATCGAATACCGATTTGGGAATCATAGCATTATAATTTGCTTGACCTTTGTAATTATTTGATTTGATTTGATGCTGTGGTGAGCAAACATCTGTTTGTCTTCATTATTGCACCAATTCAAATATTTGTATGTTGACGATTGAAATCCGCGTACCTCCAGCCACTCAAAGCGGCGAGTGGGGCAGCAGCGAGTAGATACCAGCGAGTGCAGGACACTGGCTATCTCAACGATGAGGTGACACAACGCGCAGGTCTCCCAATTGCAAATATTCTCACAAGCAGCGTGCATGAGAGATGGTGTTTTTCTCAATTGGGAACACAGTGTGACAAAAGAAATTTGTATATTTTCAATGGTAAAATAATATATTCCAAACGGATAATAAATTATCATTTGGAATTATGGAATTTCTGAAGACCATTTATTTTAAGTAAATACGAACAGCAGACACCGCAAAGATAGCTTAATAAAGAAAATGCGAATTTTTGCACCTGAAGCGAATGGTGTGAATGGCAAAAAATGTAGCGGAAAGTCACCTACCGGTCACACGGCTCTAGTTGCAACCATCCCGGCCTAAACTACTGATCTGAGTATTGTGAGTCATATTTGTTGACAATACGCAGCTTTCGTGCTGATAACGACAACCAATATCTGCATTGGTGTAGCAGCTGTTAGCATACAAAATAAAAATTCGGGGTAAAAAATAAAATTAAAATAAAATATGTAAATAAATTTATTTACATTATTGCGTGGCATGTGCAGCATTGCAGCAGCAGGAGCTGCAGCTGGAGAGCAGATCTCGTTCACAGAGATGCACGGAATTTCGGATATTTTCATCCCCAAAGGCGAGTGGGAGAATAGCAACAAAAGCCGCTGCATACGTCCAGGCGCTGCTAGCACGGGCAGAGGCGCCAGCAACGAGTTGGGCCAGAGAGCAGGCGCACAACAACGAGAGAGAACAATATCGAGAGAGAGAATGACGTGGGAGAGTGACGCAGGCGCCCCACCACCCACACAGCCACTGAGCAGCGAAGCCAGCAGTGGAAGTGACAGCGACAGCGACATGGGCAGAACCACCACCACCCGCACAGCCACCCACCCACATAGCCTCTCTCGCTCTCTCATCACATCACTTCGACCCACCGCAGGGGTGGTGGGTGGGGGTGCTGAGGTTGAGGTATCGAAAGCACAACAAACCGTAAACCATTGGCGCTGCCTCTCAGCTCCTCTCTCTCTCTCTCTGGCTCTCTGTCCCTCTCTCTGCCGCTGTGCTGTCCGCGTCGACGCTCGCGACTGTTGGAATGACAGGATGTTGGCTCCAGACGCCGTTGGACTGGGCATGGCGCGTTTGGCGGGGGGGTGGCAGGGTGTGCGTGCTTCGCAGCAGCCTTACCACCACATAAACAAAAATTCGATTTATGACCACTGTGCGCGTGATGGAGGGGGTGTGGTGTGGTGTGGTGTGGGCGGTGTCGCTGAATTTTCGGGGGTGGCGCCATTACCACTGCCACTGCCACTGCTTCTGTGCTGCCTCTGACTGTGACAGCAACGGCGACGTCCACGGCGGCCGTTCTGGCAATAACGATAACACTCACACAGACCCCCAAGGGGGGAGGTGCAGGCAAAGAGGGTGTGCCTGCTCCAGTGTGTGTGTGTATGTGTGTGTATTTATGATGGGGAGAGGGAGAGGGAAAAATTCGGATAGAGACAGGAGGCAGGACGTTATTCTAGGATTGCCAGGGAGATTGCTAGAGAGAAGGAGACCCGAGGCTGGGAACGGAACTTGGCGCAGATGACGATGTGTGTGCCACTGTGGCAGCAGGAAAGCGCATACACTGCGAACCACAAATGGCAATGGAAACAGATATAAAAAAAAAAAACAAGATATAAAAGTTTAATTTGGATTGTCAGGATTTGGATTTATTATCTTGAAAGCTTTTTTTTCTAATTTCTGGAATATTTTTGTATCCACGAGTTATTCATGGAGTGTAAAATTCGGTAATATATGCATGTGTAATTTAAATAACAAATTTTAATTACTTTAAAATTAAAAAAAAATAAATAAAAATTTTCAATTATTTTAAAATTTTTTAATTTTAAAATTTTAGTTCTATAATTTTGTATGCGTTAAATAATTTATATATTAAATAAATAAAAATTAGTTTGTGGTAAAATAAAGATTGCTTAACAATTTCTATTGTTATTTTGCGTAAAAATAAAATGAAATTATAATCATGGCGTGGAACAAAGTAGTTCTAATTTCTAAGATTGTATGACTGTATCTCCAAACTAATTTATAATTCCATCTTAAAGCCGAATAAATCTGAATCATATTGTAGTAGATTCTACTGCTTAGTCCGTGATTATTCAGAAGTATTTCTTCATCCTTTGAAGGCTTAGAATATGTACATATTTATTTTCACTCTCGTTAGATAAACATTTGAGTTAGCTTTCCCATCTGATCTTGGGATAGCTATACGAACCGAATTCGTTTAGGTATTTCTCGCTGTGCAGGGAAGGCCCCGGACTGGAGTCCTGTGTAAGTACGAGTAGTTCTCCGATACCAGTAGAATCCGTGTGGTTCTTGGTGTAGTTTTTGCTGTTTCTGTTTCTGATTCTGCCGCGGCTGCTGCTTCTGCTGCTGCCGCTGCCCACGTCGTCGTCATCTCAAATCGCGAAAGCACACCACACACACACACACACACACAGAGGGAAAGTCGCGCTTTTGGACGTTTTTGGGGGTCTCTCTCCGCGTCAAAAACAGCGACAGGAGCCGACGACAACGACAACGATGCCTCGACTTGGGCCGAGAGAGCAGCGAGTGGTATCGGTCGTGTCGTGTCGAGTCGAGTCGCTACTCTCTGTAATCTAACGGTGCTTATGCGAAAAAGTGCGCCCCCCATACGGCACACACACAAACACAAACACAAACGAACAGAGAGATGCGGAGAGCGCTGTGGAGGCGGCCGCTCAGCTGGCGTCGTCGTCGTTGCCGTTGCCGTCGCCGCTGTCGGCGACAGCGTTGAGGATGACTGCGGCGAGGACATACACATAAATAAAAAGTCCTTCATTCCGTCGCGACCAGCGAGTAACGGCTCATGAGCGCTCGCAGAGAAAACGCTAAGCATAACGGCGGATAAAAAATTGGCAGCCAAGAGAAGCCAAGAGAAGGCCTCCGACCCCGCAACCCGCAACCAGCACCCACAGAAAGCAGCACAAAGAAAAACCCAACACAAAAGCGAAAAAAGAAACAGTTCAATAATTAACAGTGAATCCTTTTTTGTTAGTACTTTTTTTGACACATTATTTTCAAGTGCGCGAAACAGTGGCCGCAAAAAGTGTGTGGTGCTAGCAGCTAACGGCAGCTAACAGCAGCAGCAGCAGCAGGAGAACGCAACGTAAGAGGCAGAAAAAAGGAAAAAAGTGCAGTGGCGGCGAAGGCAAAGGCAAAGCCAAAGGCGAGGCGTCTAGCAGCCCGCCCCCCCCAGCCCACCGCACACACACATACAAAAGCACGAGCACACACACACACACACTCGTACAGAAACTCAGAGGCCAACCCCGCCACCACGCGCGCGCCTTGTCTCGCGCTCTTCTCCTTACCCTCCTCCCCTCACCAACAACACCAGCACGCGGGGGCAGAGACACCCTCTGTATGAGAAGAAAAAAAAACACACACACACACCACACACACTGAAATTAACGAAATTGCAAAGCAGAAAGAGCAACAACAACAAAAATAACAAAGCAGAAAAGGGAGAAGAAAAGCAGAATGATAGAAAGAAAGAAAGAAAAAAGCTAAATCGCCAAAAAGCGGAAAGAAAGGAGCAAAGGAGCAAAGGAAGCGAAACGCGAATGGGTAAAGAGCGAAAGGACAACAACAAAAATAGCAAAAGTTCCAACATAAAGTCAGAAATAAAGGACAAGTGGGGCAGAGGGGGCACATAAACGAAAATAGGCAATAGCGTGGCAGCAGAGAAGTGCCAAAAAAAAACATAAAGAATGAGCGAGCGAAGAGTTGCAGCAAAACCAGAAGGATAAAGTGAAGAAGGATAAAGTGAAGAGTAGCAAGCAAGGATCTGGGCACACACAAAGAAAAAAAAAAGGCGAAATGGAAAAGCGAGAGAAACCCAGTTTATTTTTTTTTTTTTGTATACACGTATAGTGATTTTGATTGGTGACAGCAAGTCCTTGGAGAATTGAAGATTGTGAAATATTGTGACGAAAATTATGGCAAGCTCTCGCACAAAATTGAGCATTAGAGTTCCCTTTTGGCCCTGGCCCTGCCCTGCCCATGCCTCTGCCAATGGGCGTGTGCGTGTGTTTGAGTGTGTGTGTGTGCGGGGGTACGCCAGCGTATGGCAACAAAAACCTAGCCACAAAAATTCAAAAGATAAACAACAAACGTGTCGCAACTAAAACTGAATGAAAAGCAAAAGTCAATGGGGCAAGGGAAAGGGAAAGTCCATAAATAAAATATAATTGAGTTTCAAAACTATTAACGAAGTTCGACTCGTGCAAACATAAACATAAACAAAAGTGAAACAACAAACAAAAAAAGATAATAAAACGGAAGAAAAGAAAAAAAAAAAAAACGGAACCGCTCATTGTGGACACGGCGTTGCCACCTCGTTTCGGCACACACGACAGCGAGTCCTGTTTATGTGTGTGTGTGTGTGTTTTTTTTCTTGTTTGTGTGTGTGTCGTTCGTTGTGGTGTCGCGTCGCAGTCGCAGGGATATTTCTTTCAGAGATATTCAGTTATTTTTATCTTTTTTTTGTCTCTTTGGGTGACACGCGACACATTAACGACGCAAAAAGGATACGAAGAAAGCAATGCAACAACAGCAACAACTGAAGAAGCAGCAGCAGCAACAACATCAGCAACAGCAGCAACAGCAACAACAAGTGTAGTGTGTCGCACGCGCGACTGTGTGTGTGTGAATTATGAAGAAGAAGCAGAAACAACAACAGCAGCAGCAGCAGCAGAGGCAGAGGCAGCAGCAGGTGCAGCAGCAGCAGCAGCAGCAGAGGCAGCAGCAGCAGCAAAGCAAGGCGCCATCTGAGGCAGAGTCGGAGACAGAGCGTTGTAACAATTCGCGTCGCAGTAGCGCTGCCAGCAACAACAACAAATAGCAAAAACTGAGCAGCGTTCGGCAAAGCGCAACAACAATTACAATTGCAACCAAATCGGCAACAAAATCAACGACAAACAACATCAATACAACAACAGTGGCAACAACTAAGCGTCGGAGAGCGGCAGGTAGCAACAAAAAGCGGAATATCAGGCGGATAAGTCGCAGTCGGAGTGCGAGCAGGAACAGAAGCAAAAGCCGCAGCAGGAGCAGGAGCCGCATCCGGATAAGGAGTCGCAGTCGCAGTCACAGTCGCAGTAGGAATAACAGCATTCAGAGTCCATCTCGCAGCATTCAGAGTCCACCGCGCAGCATTAGAAGTCCCAGTCCCAGCCCCAGCCCCAGTGCCAGTGCCAGTCCGAACAGGAGTCGCACCAGCAGCACTTGTAGCAGCCGCAGTTGCAGCAGCGAAAGCGAAGCCAGCAGCATGTCCAAGGCAAGCAGCACGACAGCAGCACCCACTGCAGCAGCTGTTGCGGCAAGTGCAACAAATGCATCGATTGCGAATGCCAATGCGAATCCCAATGCTGATTTTAGCGCTTTCGATTTCAATGATAGTTCGGATAATTCGGATACGCCGCTGGTGCCACGCGCACCGTTCCTGAGTCGCGCCGCCGCGGCAGCAGCAGCGGCAGCTGCAGCAGCAGCCGCACTAAACAGCAGCAGCAGCAACAATTCCAATTCCCCAACATCAGGCGGCATGCCGCCAATGCAGCAGCAGCAGCAGCAAAACATGCAGCAACAGCACCTCAATAGCAACAACAACAACAACAATAACAACAACAACTTGCAACATAACAACAACAATAACAATTGTCGTAGTAGCAGTCGTAGCAGCAGCACCTCCCAAAGCAGCCTGGACGAGGAGGAGGAAGACGATGAGGAGCAGCAACATCAGCAGACAGCAGCAGCAGCAGCAGCAACAACAACAACAGCAACAGCAAAGGGCTGCTGCAGCAGCTGCCGTTGTGGCAGCAGCAGTCAGTGCGTTGCACAATGGAAAGCAGCAGTTCAACAACAACAACAGCAGCATTAACAACAACAGCAAAGTGCGAGAGCCACGAGAGCTGCACGATCCCCAGCAGCAGCAGCAACAGCAGCAGCAGCAGCAGCATCATCACCATCCAGAGGATGAGGAGGAAGACGACTACGACGAGGATGATGAGGAAGATGATGAGGAGGAGCCACACCACCATCAGCAGCAGCAGCAGCAGCAACAGCAGCAGCTGCAGCATGGCAATGGACTTGGCCATGACCTCACGCCCACAGATCTGCGTCACGTCCTGCCATCCAGCACCACCCATCACGATCATCTCCACCAGCAGACGCAGTTGCAGACGCAGCTGCAAACACAGTTGCAGCCACAGATGCAGTCGCAGCAGCAGCAGCACACCACCCCCAAGAACAGCCAGAGTACGATGACGATGGCGAGGACGAAGACGATGAGGACGAGGAGGAGGACGAGGCGGCCAGCAGTCACCTGGACAGCCGGGCCACCCTCACATCGGCCCACCTGAGCAGCGTGGCGGCTGCCGAGAGCAGCGGCCTGCACATGAGCGCCGTGGCCGCGGCTGCAGCCGCAGCAGCAGCAGCGGCTGCGGCCGCAGTCAAGCTAAACGCACAGCTGGAGCAGCAGAACGCCACGGCGCTGGACATGGCCGGCGTTGGCCCGACGGGTGGCGCCACAGTCCCCCAAATGGCGATGGTGACCGACCCGAGCAGCCTCATTTGCGGCAACAGCAACACCAGCTTCTCCACCAACAACAACAGCAACCATGCCCTCAGCTCGACGCACGGCAGCACGGTCGGCGGGACGGGCGGTGCCAACTGCAGCAACGATCTGGCGGCCAACTCGCGTGGTGGCGCTGGCAGTGTGGGCCCCCAACTCCCAGCAGCAGCAACAGCAGCCGCACCAACAGCTGCAGCAGCTGCAACAGCAGCAGTCGGGCAGCGGCAGCAGCAGCGCAGCCAGCGAGCGGCGCAAGTACCGCCACCAGAACTACAGCAAAAACATCTACATTGGCACAAAGAACGCCGAAAAGTGGGAGCACATGCGCACCCGACTGCAGTTCAAGAACGACGTCGAGTTTGTCGCCTATCTGCTCAATCTGGCCGACAACGATACGGATCGACTGAACAAGTGAGTACAGCCCTACAGAACGAATTGCTTATGCCTAGTACATACCATCCCTAAGCCATTCACAAGTAGAATGGAACTTTTCACGAAGTTTCGTGATCCCGAGTTGCTTCATTCTAGCTTCAGCTTAGCCCAAAACCCCAACGATCTGCCTGGAATATGTAGGTTTTGCTACCCAAGGCTATCCTTCCGTTTTGCATACATTATTCAAACGCAAAACGAAAGCCCAAACAGTTCGCAATTTCACTACAGACTCCACCAAACTGCATTAAATGCGTCTCTGTATCTTCTCGTTGTGATACTCGTATGTCAGCCCTATCGGATCTTCTCGTTCGCTGTTCTCGTTGAGTCCTATCAGCCCTAGCGGATCTTCTCGTTGCGATATGCCAGCACTAAGAGATCTTCTCGTTGCATTATGGCAACGCTTCGTGTTCGCCTTCTCCACTCAAGCAGGGGGTAATCATCTTTGATTTGATTTCATTATCGCTTACGCTCTTGATGCATCCAGCTGTAAGGTAAGAAACTAGCGAGTCGGAGCACAGGGAAGCCTCACAGGTACCCTTAATAGCAGTGCCAGAGACTCAATTTCTTTTCGCTGGCGATCTTTTCCTTTGTACTCCTCGTGTGCTTTCTGTTATCAGTCATAAAAACAGAAACCGAAACCGAATGAAGTAAAAAAGAACAAAGTGCTGGCCGCCAGATATACTCGCTGGCCCTGATTGTTGATAGTTGTGCAGTCTCGAAGGCACCGCCAAATGCAATCACACACACACACACACACACACACATATGCATGATGAATGCTTTTTGGGCACCTCACACACACACACACACAAAGGGAAGGGAGACAGCGAAAGGGAGACAGCGAAAGGGAGACAGAGAAAGAGAGATGGACTGATTATGAGTGAGAATTGGTTTTGTGGAACGGGTGGGCTTAGGGCGGGTGGGGGGTAGGTGGGTCGCCGGCTCAAGTCCTGCAGTTGCGGTGGAAGAAAGTTGCCCAGGGATACGGATAGAAAGGGAGACAAGTGGCATGGTGGAAGGGGGGGAGGGGGGTGCCACAAAAGCGAGCCATGTAAAAGGCGATTCATGCCCGAATGCATCTCTCTCTCTCTCTGTCTCTCTCTCTCTAGTTCTCTGTGTGCATTCTGTTCCTTAGACCGCACCACCCTGCCTGCCTATTGCAGTTGGACCATGTGGCACAAAGGCACAAATGCGGTACTCCTGCGGTTGCATGCAACGGCGCTTTCATGTTGCCTCTGCTGGAGCCATAGCGCCCGCTGTGTCCCCCTTTTCCACGTCGTCGGTAGTCGTTGTCGTTGTCGCTGCCGCCTTGTCAGCGGAAGCGGAAAAAGCAACACGCTCACACACACACACACACAACACACACACACAGTGGAGCACACACTCACTCACACACATACAGGAGACAGAGCACACTCAAGCAACATCGTTGAGGATGTTGTTGCATGCATTTGCATGCCATGTTGCCAATCGCCCACTCACACAAACTCACAGAGAGAGAGGGAGAGATGGAGTAAGGAAGAGAGAGAGAGAGAGAGACAGAGAGAGCGAGTGTGGGAAGTGGAGGCATAGGAATGTGTGTGCTCATGCCCGTACCCGTATTATTGCTCTTGCTCTGGCTCTTGCCTCCACCACCGCCTCCAACATGAATGCGTCGCGAATTTTCTTCCTTTGCCCCACATTGCACACACACATTGCATTCCCCTCACTGCCCACAGCACACAGCACACAGCCAACCCACCAAAACAGCCCCAACCCCCCCACCCGTTCAGCCACCTGCCACGCCTTGTTGCACTGCAGCTCGAGCGCGCCATTTGGCGCTTTGTACTTGCACACATGAGTGTATGTATGTATGTGAGTACATATGTGCATGTGCCCACCCACAGCCACCACCCAGCTATCCTCCACTGACACCCACACCCTCTCTCTCTCTATGTGTGTGTGTGTGTGCCTGCTGCGTGGCAAATACGAAATGCCAATGCTGAAATGTGGATTCACATTCGGTTCGCCCCTGCCATTTGTTTGCCTCTTTGTTGCACCGCTGCAGCGCAGGAGGCGATGGCCACAAGGAGTCACAAGAATGGGCACTCGAGTCGCACAGAGGCGAAGCGATGCCTCGAGATGATCATTAAATAAGAGATGAACCCAAACGATGTGCGCTGATGGCTATTCCAGAGTATTACGAGTATTCAGTGCTCAGCAATGGGGTCAAAATAATTCATGACGATCATTCAGCTCATGCCCGACAAAAAAAAAAAAAAAAAAAAAATATGCTAAGCCTCGAGGCAGGACTACGAGCACTCAGTGTTATTATCTAAGCCATAAAAATCCCTCAAAAAAATGCTAGAAATATCGGAAGAGAACATACAATCAATTGGCTGCAAGGTGCCCACGTGAAGCCCTTCAATACTCATTATGCGCAGCTTCCATTGCCACACTCAAAATAGTCCCGTGACCCAAATTGATTTGCAATATTGTTGCGTGAAGATATTAAAATAACTTTCAATCAAATTTGGGGGCAAGTCCACCCTCCCACCAACGCACGAAGAGCATCTATATTTAGCCGTTTGCATTTTGCCTTTGTTTGTTCCACGTGAACTTATGGCGGGGTTCCAGTAGGACGCATTCGAATGCCACATAACGCGAATGACGTTAATTCGATTTACAAATGTGCCAAGAGCGAACATATGTGCGTACGTACATACATGCGTACACATGTGCGTACGTCATTCGGTGTGAAAGATAGCTGGGGTTTCGGTTCCTGCCATAAGGACACACGCGAATGACATGCGAATGACGTTTATTCGTTTCACCAAGTATCCATCCTCCCTCGATGTGACACGAATGACACAACACAACACACACAGAGGCCATTCGCCATTCGCCCAGTCACGTGGCCACGCATGAGAACAGCTGATGCAAGTGACGCACAACTTGTCTAATTTATAGACAAAATAATGCACATTTTCGGATGCTTGCCTACAGGGCATACATGTCTGACATTGCCGCTGTTTATTATACGCCAGCAAGGAAGATAATACTTTGGGGCGTCAAAATTTACACATTAATAAGGGCAGGAAAACAACAAAATCTAGGCATGTAAATGTACATGGGTGAATATGAATGCGACAGAGTTTTAAGTTCTTTGAAGATGAATTCCTCTTGAACGATCATTACCCCAACAGCTACAGACATATATGATACCTATAGCCATCTGATTTCTAACTGAGCTCCAATGGATTTATACCAGTTGGTTTATGCAAAGCCGAAAGTCTATGGCAAATATAAACCCACATTCTGAGGAGCCACAGATATTTGAATGTGCAACAAACGCGTATAAATATGTCTGCTTGGATTTTTGTTACTTCTGATCGATCATTCTTATACAAAGTCTACAAAGTCTAATATACATTAGAGATCTGCGTAGCTCCATTCAAAAAAAAATTCCAATAGAATAGAATAGAATTCACCACTCAAACTCTGTTGACATAGCATTCGAAATCACTCAATTCCTTTTGAGCATTGTTAATTCGAATGCCTGTTTTTTATTATTCATGCAGTACTCTAATGTATATAGATCTGATCCATTAAAACCTCCAGAGATTACAGGTACTTGACATATGTACAGATTGTACAGATAGACCACAGATCCATAGATCGATTGCTGATACAGAATATACTCCATGGCGTGGCAGATGCTTCTTTACACAAATAAAATGATTCCTTGTGGCCTTTTTTTGTGTGGAAACTGTTACCCCTCCACTATAAGTTTCAGTGCATCAATAACCCTGGTCCGTTAGTACCGAATCGGGCCTATGCTGCATTTCGATCAATTGCTATCAATTGCCATATTCAGCAATGGGATTTAATTACGATCTTCTGCTGTGGAGCGCTAGGTGATTATTGGTTTCAGTCTACAATGAAACTGATTTAATGCTTATATTTCTGTCTGTTATCCCTTGGGCTAGGAGGCAAAAAGAGTGCCATTATTATTCCATGCGGTGGGTCGTACTCTGGGTGATAAATTTACTCCCAGTGCTAATTTACTGGCTAATGATCTCACTATGCCCTGCAGCCCAAGTGGTTGCCTGAGTGACCTTTTGCTCTATTCCATTATCATTGAAAGGGCACAATTTCTATTTGAAGGGCCCTCAATCGATGCTTTCCAGGCTGATGTGTGAACGGGGCCCAGTAACGAAGTTAAACAAAGTTTTCAATTCCTTCAACTATACCAATATCCGAGCTGTCCCTATTTTAATGTCCAGAAACAATTGCTGTTCGGGGCAGTCCTTTTTGTAATGCAGAAAGCACCAGAAAGGTGATCTTGCTCAGGCCGTATCGATGTGTTCAGCTTTTGGCAGACTTTAACCCAAAGGGACTGCCACCACATCTGCATATTTATCAGCGAATCTCTATATCTATATATGTATGTGTATAATTAACATTTGCAGTCTGGTTGCTCCACACACACAAACACATACAGAGGGAAGCACACAAAGACAGACACACACGATAGATATCTCGATGCCAGCATCCACAGTGCGAATGAATGTTGTCAGCCTTGGCTCCCTTATTGTATGTCTCTCTCCCTACCTCCCTCCCTCGCCACCCCATCACCTCTTTGGGTTTTTCCAATTCGCATTTCGTATACGCCATGTCGCCAATTTCTGCGAATTTTCGCCAAAAAGCACAAAATTGTTGTGTCTGTGTGTGGGTTTGTGTGTGTTGTGTGTGTGTGTGTGCGTGTCTCGTTTCTCCAACTGTCTATGTGTCTGTGCGCCTTCTCTGTGCTTAATGCGGCAACGAGCACCAAAACCAAACGCACACGAAACAGAATCCCAATCCCAATCCCAGCCCAAAAGCAACAGCAACAGCCCCCTCCCACCCCCTCCATAACCACAACCAAGCAACGGACCCCCCCAACCCCAAACCGAACCAGGCCCCAAAAACCCAACTCAAGCCGCCACCCCCCCTCCGCGCTGAGCCCTCAAGCAGCACATTAACGGCAGAGACACAGACACTGGCCAGAGAGACACACAGCGAACGAGAGAGAGGAGCAGGATATGGCGGGGGGGGTGATACGGAATGAGAGCAATGGGCAGAAGCAGGAGAGACAGCAGCACAGAGCCAGCCCATCGTTGCCATCGCTCGCTCATTCGTTTCCTACTCGTTCGTTTTGCACTCGCTATTGTCTGCGGAAGAGTGGCGGGGCTGCTGCTGAGGGATGGGATTGTGCACGAATGTGGGTGGAGTGTGGGGGGAGGCCTGAGACAAAGTGGGACAGGGTAAGTGGTTAGATGGGGCCACGCTGGGGGAGGGAAGCTTCGGATGGGTTGCCTTTGGCTGGATGGATGGATGGATGTGGATGGATGGATGGATGGATGTATGAATGGTATCGCTTGCTGGCTGCCGCTGTTCTCGATATTGCTGTTAAGGTTCTAAGGTGGAGGATTTAATGAACGATAACACACACACGCACACGCACACACAAACAGAAGAGAAGAGAAGAAGAAGAAGAAACAGTGGCGGAGTACTGGGGGAGGGTAGGGAATGCAATGCTGCATGTACAGCATTCTGCTGCATTCCATTGTGTGCCGACTGCGGCGGGGCTTCGGCTGTGACCATTCGGAAATTTCATCTTGATTTGGAGGCAGCACGGAATATGCTTGACGACCTGGCCAACCGCAACAACAACTAGTTGCTCAAAGAGATTGCATTACCAGAGATATCAAAGTGCACGCAGGGTGCCGTGCCGTGCCCCGCCGCACCACAAAGAGATGCGCCAAATGGATGTAGCGGCTGCTGTTATGGCAACGCGGGGAGGGGGCAAATGGCTGGCCAGCCATGACTGAAGGAAATAAAGTGGCGCTTAGAGAAATTACCCAAGCACACATTTCTTACGCAGCATTTATTTTATTTTAGATTTATTTATTTATTTATTTATATGTAAATTTGTGTTGACCCACAATTAAATACAGCAAAGTTGTTTACTGTTTTTCACACTCAAATGTTTTGCTCAGACAAAGGACAGAGACAGCTTTGTGCTGCCTGCCTGCTGCCTGCCTGCTTATCGCCTTCGTGCAAATCTCTAAAGATATTTCTAAGGAAAACTATGGCCACGGCATAGTTGGGCGTACTTTCATGCGTATTTGCGAATCATTTGCTCATTTATTTATTCCAAGAACTTGTGCCATAGCATCTCAGTGGCATATTGACGTTGGGCCAGAGCGTGCCAGCTGGACACTGCCATCCCTTTGTCTCACTCCCCAGCAGCTCATGCCCCCATGCCCCATGCCTCAAGCGTCACGCGGATAGCGAGCAAAATGCAAGCGAAATTAATTAAAAGGCAAAAGGCGACAAGAACAACAAGGAGCTAAGGACAGAGAGGAAAGCAGCAGCGAAGCCGAATGCTGTGGGGGGGAAGGATTCGTAGTGGGTGGCATGGGGTACCAGCTCTGTTCATGGCACAGGGCGTGGACGTGGCAGAGAACGTGGCACAGAACGTGCAACCTGGCCAAGGCGTAATTCGAAGATCTAGAAGAGTATTTGTAAGCCACGAGTTACCTTTAGGGCGGGGGGATTCGTAGTGGCAGGAATGTACCCAGGAGCTCTCAGTCGGTTGCTTTTAATCCGAAGGATTATGGCAATGTCCCAATGGTTTCTTGGGCTTCTTCCTTGGGATTCCTCCTTGGGCTTCTTCCTTGCGGCTCCTCCTTGCGGCTCCTCCATGCGGCTCCTCCTTGCGGCTCCTCCTTGCGGCTCCTCCATGCGGCTCCTCCTTGCGGCTCCTCCTTGCGGCTCCTCGTTGCAGCTCCTCCTTGGGTCCCGCTGTACAGCAACTCGCAACTCATCACCACTCTCTCTCTCTCTCTCTCTTTTTTTGGTGCAGCCTACCACCACCCTCGCCGGCTCCAACGCCCACCAAAGGCTTCGATGGAAACTTCAAGCTCGAACCGAATCTCAGTGTCAAGGACTTTGCCCTGCCCCCCGAGTCCACGTCGATGAATGGTACGGGCAACGGCAATGGCAATGGCGACTCTGCCTCGGCGACCTCCGTGGCAATGGTCACGCCCACGCCGCCGCAACGGAAGCGCTACAAGAAGCGGGTGCAGTTCTCCACGGATTCGCTGAACGGATACGCGGGCGGCAAGGCGGCCAAGGGGGCAGGCGCTGCAGCAGCTGCAGGATCGGCAGCAGCAGCAGGCGGCACAGGGACGGGGTATCACAGTGGCTACGCCAAATCGAAGAAGCAGGAGGCCAAGGCGGCGGCGGCTGCCCTCAAGGCCGGAGCAGCGGCAGCAGCGGCGGCGGCAGCGGCTGCAGCTGCCGCCAACTCCTCGGCCCTGCCCGAGGTCCTCGACTGCCGCATCGCCGAGAAAATCAAGAGCGAGCTGGAGGCCAGCGCCAGTGCCGGCGTCGGCGGCAAGGAGTCCCTGCCCAGCGCCCTCTGCCTGAAGAAGGCCGCTGCGGCGGCGGCAGCAGCGGCCGCGGCGGCAGCAGCAGCAGCGGCAGCGGCGGGCAGCGAAGAGGAGGACGAGGAGGAGCATCAGCAGCAGCAGCATCAGCAGCATCCACATCTGATGGGCGCCGGAATGGCCATTCCCCTGGGCGTGGCCGGGGGCGTGGAGGTGACGGCCAAGACGGGTGCGGATGCTGTGGACGGCGCCACAACCAGTAACGGCCAGATGGGCAACTTCCATGTGCGCTCCAAGAGCCATGGCGGCGGCAAGAAATCCCAGTCCGCCAAGGCAGCAGCGGCGGCGGCAGCAGCAGCGGCAGCGGCAGCAGCGTCGGCGGCCGCAATGATGCCGCCCAACTCCAGCTACGACGAGCCGGAGGATGAGTCGGCCACGGGCGGCACGGCCGCCAACGAGGAGGAGGACGACGACGACGAGGAGCTGGACGAGGAGGCGCTGGCCCGCGAGATGAAGATGGAGCAGAACTTCGTGGAGGAGGAGGACGAGCACGACATTGCGTTCAGGTCGCAGCAATCCTGCCGCGAATGCTCCATCACGCACGACCACAAGCTGTGTCCGCTGCGCAACGCCAGCGGCAATGTGACGGACGCCGTCGACCTGGCCGAGTGGATCGAGCGCCGCAATCTGGAGGCGCTGGCCAAGCTGAAGGCGGATGCCCATCGGCAGGCGAAGCGGGGCCGTGGCCCACGGCACGACGACGACGAGGATGACATGGAGGACATGGACATGGACGAGTCGTCGCAGCTGTCCGAGCTGGAGACAAAGCCGCTGATCACGTTCGCCGAGGCGTCGGTGCCCGCCGAATTTGAGCTGCACAACGTCGAGCCGAATGTGACCGGCGTGTTTGCCCGCACCGAGGTGCGGGCCTACACCAAGCTGGGGCCGCTCATCGGTCAGCCGGTGCAGACGGGCGAGGTGCGTGAGGGCAGCGACATGAAGTGGATATTCGAGATGTGCGAGGCGGGGGCGGACAAGTCCTATCTGCTGTGCTGCGACAATCCGAATGCCTCCAACTGGCTGCGCTTCATTCGGCCGGCGCCCTGCTACGACGATCGCAACGTCAATCTGGTGTCCATCGATCAGCAGGCGTATTTCGTCAGCTGCCGCGATCTGCGCAATGGCATGGAGCTGCTCTACTGGAGCGACGACTGCAACACCATGTGGCGCAAGAAGCACACGGAAAAGATCAGTGAGTAGCCGTAACCCATAACCCATAACCTACATTTGAGGATCAATTTCAATTTCAATCTTTGCTTTATCTTTGCTTGGGCGGCCACAGACTGCGGCGGCTGCAGTCTCAAATTGAGCATCCCGCTGTACTATCGCACCCACTGCTCCGTCTTTCACGATCCATCGATGAGCCTGACCATCCGGAAGTACCACTGCAAGGTGTGCGGCGAGGCGGTGCTGGGCAAGGACAATATAATGAAGCATGCCGCCGAGAAGCATGACGGCAAGGGCGCCTATCAGTGTCAGTTTTGCAACAAGTTCTTTTTGCGGCTCAATTACCTGGAGATGCATCGCACCTATGGCTGTGCCTCCAATCCGAATCGATCGCGACCCGTTTGCGATTTCTGTGGCCGCAAATTCTGTCAGCCGCAAAAGCTGAAGGCGCACATCAAGCGAATGCACAGTGGTAAGTAGTCGAGTGGCAGATGCCCGTTGCCCCATACCCCCATATACCCATACCCACCAGATAGATCGTAACTGTGATCGTAATGTAGAACATATAGATATATATGTATATGTATATCGTAAGCTTAAGCCAACAGAATGCCAACAGTCTAGTAGTACAGTATGTCTCGTATGTATACGTATGGTGTATCGTTAATTGCCAGCACGGCTGCCACCTGTCTATCGAGTAGCGAGTAACTTAAAGTGAGTGAAAGATTTCATATTTAAATGCCTCATACTGCTCAAAATGGAAATACATTTTTTTTTTTTTTTAATGCTTTAAATTTTGAACTCGTTTGCACAGGTGGCAACCGTGTTCGTAAGCTCGTATATCACAACTGTAACTATTGTATATCGTAACTATTTTATATCGTATGTATATCGTATAGCGTAAGCTCGCATCGAACTCACCGTACAACTGCTTCTGCATACATAAATCAGTACAGCATATCAGTAACGAGTACGAGTGCGAGTACTCGTACTTATATTATACATCATATCATATCATATTATATTATATCGTATCGTAACACACACACACACAAAATAATATCGTATGTAACTACTACTAATACCGTAACCAATCGCTTAGCTATTAAACTAACCATTTGTAAACTGTAATTGTAAACCCCCTGCCATACCATAACACACACCCACCACAAATACCACAGAAAAAGATACAGCTTAAAAAAAAAAAAAAAACACACAATAAGCATCTGCGATCGCTCATCACTATTCATTTTGCCTAAATTTTTGTTGAGTTGTAAACCGCCTAAATTGATCGAAACATGTAAATGTATCTTTTCATTTTGGTTTTTCTTTTCATATTTTTTTTTTTGTTTATGTTATTGCTACTTATAGTTGACTCATCATCCGTATGTACTTATAACGTATGCCAAGCACACTAGCGAACTTCCAACTGATGTGGCTGAAGGGTCTGGGGAAACACTCGTTACTGCTTCAACGCACCAAAACCAACAACATTTGTAGATTTATTTCTGTGAAAAGTTTAAGGCACTTGAGGAAACCCTTTGCTTGCATCTAAAATTTGTTTCTATTTCTCAGCGTAGAATGTGCTTCTGCCATCAGATTTCCAAGTTGAAATAAGTTTCAAAGGATCTCTAGAGAGATCCTCTACTCAATGCCAATTTCCAAAGAATTTCTTTGGTTATTTTCTAGTATTTTTCATGGCATATTTTTGGAGCAAGTTCAGTGCTTCATCAGTTGGAATATTTATCGACTACTTAACCCCGCCCCCTCCCACGACCCAGACTAATCTCGAATGTAAAATGCATTGTGTAAATCGAAACGCTTTTAGTGAATGATTTTGCCTTTGATTTGTGTTTGTGTGTGTTCTTTGTTTTCAGTTAATATTAGTTTATGTGTATGTGGCATATGAAATATAGTTTTTGCATTTGATTTGCCCAAGCATTATGGACACCCCGCACCCTACTACTGTCCCACAGCCTACTGTCCTACTGCTCCACACCCTAGTGCCCCACGATCCATGTTTCTTATGTGTTTTAGCTTTTTGTTCGTTGGTTCGTTCGTTGGTTCGGTTCGTTCGTTGGGTTGGTTTCTGGATTTGTTGTGTATAAATTCACTAAGTTTCTTTCAAAATCACCACAATCCGAAAATTTCATTTTCTTCATACAATTTCATTTTAGATATGGCTGAAGTTTTACGAGATTTTCAGTGTAAATTATGTTCAAAACTTCTAGGATCGCGTGCGGCACTGCAGCGCCACTCGAAGGAGGTGCACAGCCGCAACTCCACTGTCGTGAGTTGTCCGCGCTGCCAGAAACTCTTCCAGAATCGCAGCAATCTCAAGATACATATGCTAACCCACTCTGGTGTGCGTCCATTCAAGTGAGTATATAATAGTTCCATCCATTCATCCATCCAACCATCTAACCAATTGCCGCTTCTGGGCGTGTGATTTGCGTTTTAGGTGTGCGGAGCCCGAGTGCAATGCGGCGTTCACCACCAAACAGTGCCTGCAGTTCCACTACAAGAAGGTGCACAACTACACACAGGAGCAGATGCCGAAGATCGAGCGGAGTGTCGCCTACACATTCGATGCCTATTCGGGCGGCATGAAGGTGGACTTTCTGGGTAAGCAGCAGCTGCAGCAGCAGCAGCAGCAGCAGCACGAGCAGCAGCAGCAGCAGCCGCTTCCGGAGTCACAGCTGCCTAATGCAGCTGTTGTCTCCTCCTCCTCATCCACAGAGCAAGCACCGCGCCGGCGGCGCAAGAGCCTCGAGGACCAGAACTCGATGCTCAGCAGCTCGATGCAGAGCGACACGGAGTTCAGCGACGACAACATCTTCGAGGCCATCAAGAAGAGCGGCAAATCCATCAAGGATCTGTGCCGCAACGAGCCCAATCTATCGCTGCTCAGCTCCAAGATCTCCAGCATTTTTGGCGAGAAGGTGCCGGTGGCTGTCCCAGTGCCAGTGGCCACGCCCTCGGCCACATCGGTCTCGCTGCCACCCGTCGGTGGTGGTGGTGGCCGCAAGCGGAAGCGTAAGAAGGAGCTGGCCAATTCCACGGCCGCCCAACAGCAGCAGCAACAGGCGGCCCTACAGCAGCAGCAGGCGCAACTGCAGCAGCAACAGCAGCAACAGTTGCAACAGCAACAGCAGCAGCACGTGCAGCAGCAGCAGCAGCAGCTTCACCACCAGCCGCTGCAGCAACAGGCGGCCCTGCAGCACCAGCCGCTGCAGCAGCAACACCAACAGCAGCAGCAACAGCAACAGCAGGCGCAACTGCATCACGAACAGTCCTCCCACCAGCAGCAGCAGCAACAGCAACAGCAGCCACCGCCCCAGTACCATCCGCACCACCTGCACTCGCACGCCCTGCCCCACCAGCAGCAGCAGCAGCAGCAACAGCAGCAGCTGCATGGCGCCGATCCCGACGACGAGGAGGAGGCGGAACAGGTCCGCCTCGAACAGGTGCGCCGCAAGCAGAACGCTCAGCTCAGCCTGGTCGAGTCATTCCTGACGACCACCGCTCAGCGGCTGAGTGCCCAACAGCAGGTGCAGCAGGTGGTGGCAGCCGCGGCTGCCGTCTCGGCAATGGCCGGCGCCGGGGACGATCCCGCCAAGCTGGGCCACATGATGGTCGGCCATATGGGCGTCGGCGTTGGTGTTGGCGTGGGCATGGACGATGAGGACGACGACGACGAGGAGGAGGACGATGGCAGCTCGGCAAATCATCCGCCCGGCGGCAGCCATACCCATCAGCAGCACGGCCATCCGCACGGTGCCCATCCGCACTCACACTCGCAGTCGTCACACTCCCATCCGCATCCGCATCCGCACTCACACGCCCACTCGCACGCCCATCCGCACCACGCCCATGCCCATGCCCACAGCCACGCCCACGGCCACCAGCACTCGCAGCAGGGTGCAGGCGGGGGACAGCAGCAGCAGCAGCCGCACGGTGATCCGAGTGCCTCGTACCGCCATGCGGCGGCCATGAACGCCGTGGCCCTCGGCCAGAATCTGGTCGTCACCAAGGGCAGCAAAAAGTGGATCGGCGCCGATGATCGCCATCTGGGCGACGTGACCAGCGACGTGCCCGGCAACGAGTCCGGCCCGGGCGGCTCTGGCCAGCTGCCCGGCAACGCCGGTGCCGGTCAGGATCTCGGCTTTGCGGTGCCCCCCAGTTCCGTGGACGAGCACAGCAAGATGCTCGGCCAGAATCGTGACTTTCTCGCCCGCCTCATGAGCACGGCCAGCGCCAGTCATGCCCACGCGCACGCCCATGCCCATGCCCACGCCCACCAGCATCAGCACCCACACCAGCAGCAGCACAGCGCCCACAGTCGCGAGGAGGACGAGAACAGCTCCTTCCTGGATGTCGTCGAGTCGGCCAACAACAGTGTGGCGGCGGCAGCCGCTGCAGCGGCGGCCATGTCCCAGTACCATCACAATGCCTCGGCCAACGGTGGAGCGGGCGGTCCGGGGGGGCCAGGTGGCGGCGGTGGCGGTGGTGCCAGTGGCACACATACACCCACGGGACCGGCCAACTGGCGGCGGCGGCGGCGGCGGAGGATCGGTAACCTCCTCCGGTGACGGCCCCGGCCAAATGCAGATGAACTCCCTGGCACATCCCCAGTCCTTCATGAGCTCCTTCTACAACAACGCGAACGCAAGACTGACCGGAGCCGGCGTGGGTGTGGGCGGGGGGGGCTCCTCGTCCGCCAGCATGCTGGTGGAGGCGGCCCTCAACTCTGTTGGCAATATGATTGACAGCGAGAGCAGCGACCTCAAGGTAACTTTTTTTAATCAAAATTAATCAACACAGCAAACTGATTGGTACGGCTAGAGTTTTCTTCCATGCAACCTACTTGGAATTTGCTATTTACTCCAAAAAGAGATTTAAAATATTATTTATATTATTTATTTATTATTTAAAATATTTAATATTAGACAAAAAACCTTCATCATTTTTACTTGGCATTTCCAGCGTGAACAGCAAACAGAATTTCGCGAATTGAGCGGAAAATGAGACGGCCTTTTATAGGATTTCTTATTCGAGTCGCTAGATTGGATATAACTGAAGATATAGCGAGCCAAAGTGAATGTTTTCTACCATTTTTTATGTTACTTCAACTTTTTTTTTAAATTTTGTTCTTTTTGGAATGGTCTTACGACTTTTAGACATATGTAGTTCTTTAGTGGCAATAATTGCCAAGAAAATGTTTTATGAAATGTTAAAGCTGCGAAGATAATGCAGCTAGCTGAGGTCGAAAGTAGCTACAGATCTCTTCATTATTACTTTGAAAATATTTAAAAAGGGAAAGGGAAGAAGAAATGTCACATACTTTATATATACTTTCTTTATTCTCTATCTGTAGGAGATACATAAAAGTATATATTTATTTATTGGTTAGAAAAATGATTATTATAATTCATATTTAATGTTGTTTTCTAACCCCTATATGTGTGTAGGTACCCACCGATAACCACATCAACAGCGACAGTCCGATGAGCGCCCATGTGGATGCCGAGGCGCAGCGCTTTGGGGCTGGCAGCGCTGGCGGCGGTGTGGGCGGTCCTGGTGGCGGCGGTGGCGGCGGCGGAGGTAGCAGTGGAGGATCATCGAGTGCCGCCAATGGCACGGGCATTGGGGGGGCCATGGACAACCTGGAGAACGAGCTGAAGATGATGAAGAACCTGGGCAGCTTCCCCATGCAAATACCGCCGCTGCCCATGTTTCAGGGCGCCTGCAACATCTCGCCCAGCGCCTCGACGCCAACGAATCCGCAGAGCAACCAGAACCAGAACGATGTGGACGTGGATGCGGGCAGCACACCGCGACCCCAGCATCCCGACTCCGATGGCTTCTCCTCGTCGCACCACCGCACGCCGCCCTCGCCGCCGCCCATCTCTCCGGGCCGCGACTACGGTGGCATGTTCGGCTCTGGCAATGGTGCTGGGGGTCCAGGCTCCAATAGCACGCCAGCGGGCAGCTCAAGTGCCGGCGGAGGCGGCGGAGGTGGTGGTGGCGGGGCAGGAGGTGGTGCTAACAGCATGTCGGCCTCGTCCCCGCTGCCCGCCTTGCAGCCACAGCGGCGCAATGCGTCGAGCGTGGGCAGCACATATCCGGAGCACGAGCTCATCTCGCCGGCCTCCTCGCCGAGCATACCGCGCTACAACTTCAACGGGGACATGATGCGCCACAAGCGGGCGGTGCAGGAGCAGGACCAGCACGAGCAACGTCAGCGACACAACCTCTCGCGGCACAATCAAATGTCAAGTGACGAGGAGAACAGCATCATGCCACAGAACAGGTACAGAACATTTCATTTATTAATTCCTTATTTCCCCATATTTTCTTGCTCGTTACTCGCTACTCGCTACTCGTTACTTGTTACTCGCTACTCGTTACTTGCTACTCGCTACTTTTATGCTCAATACAGTTTTTGGTCTGTTTGCAATTTCTAGCAGCGCCGGCCAGGATATGCGCATGAAGTTCCCCCAGTCGCAGATCGACCTCATGTACTCCAAGTACGAGAGCATGGCCAGCAACCTGAAGTACAACAGCCAGGAGCTCGACTCGCCGGCGGAGTATCGCCAGAGCAGCAACAGCAATGCGGCGAGTGCGGCAGCAGCTGCTGCCGCGGCGGCCAGTGCGGCCAACGATCTGTCCGATCTGCAGGGCCTGGACATGAGCTCGCGTTCGAATGCGTCGAGCAACTATCACCACAATTTCCAGCTGCCAAGCAGTCGCTACCATCATCACATTTACGACATTCTGTCGGATCGGGAGCAGAGCCAGCAGGCCCAGGCGCAGGCCCAGGCACAGGCACAGCAGGCAACGGGAGCATCGGTGGTGCACCAGCAGGAGCACGGACATGGCAGCCAGCTGGCGATGCAGCAGCACCAGTCGGCGGCGGCCATGCACAACATGCTGAGCGAGCAGCTGGGCGAGCAGGAGCACGACCAGACCACCTCCGTGGACCTGAGCCGTACGGCCAACTATGTGGTGTCGTCGCCGCCACAGCTTCCGTACAACCATCCGCATCACGACATGCTGCGAATGGCCTCACTGGACCTCACCCCCAACACGGCCAACATGGCCGTGGGCAACAATCGGTCGTTCCTCTCCTCGCAAATGCAACACCAGAGCCGCGACAGCCTCGAGCACCATCGCCTGCTCTCGACGGTGGAGCAGCATCGCATTCTGGCCGCCTCAAATGCCGCCGACCAGCACCGCCTGCTTGTCGACCCCACCGCCCACTTGTTGATGGAGCAGAACAATCGTCTGCTGGGCACCGCCGATCAGTCGCGCCTGCTGGGCGAATCGGCGGCGGCAGTGGCCCAGAATCGGCACATGGCACGCAGCTTTGGGGCATACCATCAAGTGGCATCGAGCAACTATCATCCGGGCGTACGACCGCCGCCCGTGCTGCCGTCAGCGAATCATCACGCCTCGAATCCGTCTAACTATCATCCCTTTCCCGCCTACTACTAAGGGGGGGACTATGACCAGTTGCCCGGGACAAAAGTGCAATACCTAGAAGGCATCTGTGGGATCTGTGTGGGAGCTCCAAATCGACCTCAATTTGAAGCGCAACAATAACTTTAGTTCCTCCATTTATTCCATTTATTCTCCCGCAAGGAACTCCACGGATGATGGATCCCATTCGAGCCCCAATTTCAAAGTGTGCCAATTCTGTGTTTAGGTGTTTAGGATCTGTTTAGAATTATGTGTGTGTGTGGGTGGGCAAACCAACCTGTCACCCACACACACACACACACACAAATATGTATAGTTGTATAGAAAGCATAAAATAAATATTATAAATATATAAAGAGTATGTATACAAGCGAAAAATGCGAAAACATAATGAAAATAATATAAAAAAAAACAAAACAAAACAAAAAAGAAAAGAAAGAAAGCCAGCAGCAAGAATTTTTTTAAGGCAAATTTCATGCTGTGTTTTTTGTATAGGAAACAAAAAAAAAAAAAAAAGAAGAAAAAAAACTGACGATAAAATGCTAAACATGCAAAATAATAATAATAATAGTAATAGTAAAAATAATTATAATTATAATGATAATATTTTTACACCAATGAGGAAGAGAGTAAGGCAAAAGCGTATTAACGAGTACAAAGTGTTGGCAGATTCGGCAAAAACCTTTAACCCCATTTCCCATTCCCCATGCAGTTGGCTTGAACCGGAAAAACTCTGCAAACTCAGCGATGGAATGGAGAGAAAAATATATATGTATAATATATATTGATAGTATATAGACATACATACCATAAATACATGACCGATCAGGAACCTAGCTCAAGCATCATCGCACACTCAATTGGAATGTGTTCGCAACTGGCGTCTCCAGAACCTAACGACGAGTGTGTGTGTCTCTCTCTTTTTTTTTATTTTTTTTTGTACTATTATATTATAAATATTATGGATAATGGCGTTTCAGCGTTTCTAGTCAGACAATGCGGGCGGGCAACATAGCTACATATAAATACATACATACATGCATATAATAATAAATAATAATAATAATAAATGGTACGAGTATATAAACGAAGCAAGTAAATAAGTTATAATATCATGTAAATTATTAAATTTATACATATAAGTTGCAAATTGCGATAAGGCAAAGAAAAAGAAAAACCAAAAAAAAGAAAAAATATTTAAAAACTGAAACGATATACAAACACATATACCAAAAACAAAACAAAAACCATGATAATAATATTAAAGCGAGAATGGTATGTATATCCACACACACACCACACACACACACACCCAAAACGCTGATCGAAATTATATATATATACACAGACATATATATATATATATATAGATACATATGGCGTAATCCAATTATCGATTATTAATAAAAGGCAACAAAAAACGTACATCGATAATCCTTTCATTCGATAATATTCTGACAGGTGACAAGGCATGAGTTTGTTTGTGTGTTCTGTTCTGTTTTTTTTTTTTGACAGCTTCTCTTTGACACTTTTTTGGTCACAACTATATAATCATAAATATTAGTGTGCACATTACATATAAAAATTATTTAAAACAAAATTTTCGTTTCCCAACCATGAATAACGATGTCGAGTACGAGTACAATCGGAAGAAAAAAGTTAGGGATCGCAAGGAAACGCAGCTACGCAAAGACGCCCTAACGGAGGGCATTGTCGGTTTAGTTGGAATTGCGGGCGTGACGGCGATTGCGATTGGCTTAATATCGTCACGTGGCAGAGCCGGCCTGAAGTCAGCCGCTGCGAAGCTGCGGTACAAAATTGCTAATTTTGTGGGCGGCCCGCCAGCCGCACCCAAGCTAGTTTTGGTGACTGAAAAGCCGCAAGTGCGACGAGCTCCTGCAACGCAGCGGCCACCAACAGCATTCGAAAAGATTGACCTACGAAAGCTGGATAAGGAGGCTGCATATGTTAAAAAGGCCGGGACAGCGTGTGCTACCGCCGAACTAACGTCATTGACATTAACTGATAAATACGACAATATTAATACAACGGCAGCCAGAACATTTGATCGACAAGCTGAATCAGAAGAGTTGACTGGAAACGAAGCAGACGCTCAAAAAGCCGCCGATTCGATACTAGCCCGTTACTTGTACGCATCAGTGGGGCAGTATCCGAGGCATCCCATCGAGTGGTCAACAGGTGCCAAAGCTAAGCGAACCGGATTGCGGGTCGGCAGTATTGTGACTGAAGCCAATACTGAAGCAGAGCAACTCTCGGTAATTGGAACAAGTACCAGTACCAGTACACATTCAGCCGCTACAAACGTTGTAAATACAGTTAACAAATCAGACTTGACTCGATTGAAAATATATAGAAATTTGGGACAATTTGCTGAGACACAGCGACCAAAAGTGACGCCTGGAACATCGCAAGTAGCAGTGCCTGAAGCAGTGGAAGTAACAAAAACAGAAAAGGCAGATCTAACAGCAGGACCTGAGGACATAACTGTCACAACTGGAATAACAGCCACTGGACGAGAGGACATAACAGCAGACATAACAGCCGCTGCCACTGGTAAAGAAAGCTTTACATTAATAGCAGGCGAAGCTGTCAAGCGTTCATTAACAGACAAAGAGAAGCAGCCACTGACCAACACGAGCAAGAACGATACCGATCGTTTGATGATGACGAAACCCAGTAAACAGCAATAACAAGAGAAGAGAGAGAGCAACAGGCAGCAGTAGCAGTAGCAGAGTAAGAGCAGTGTCATGACGCCAACGCCACCAGAGACGGTGTCAGACAGGAAGAGCCACAACAGCGAAGAGAAACCACCGCGCGAATCATGGATCCCGGGCAGGGGGTCAATGCGGTCCACTAAAAAAGATGTTGATCCAACGAAACCACCAACACCGCTGCTCCCCCCGCCAAACGAAGAGAAATCCACGCATAGAGAGCCAAAGCGTGCCAACAAGAGCGATGTTGAGCAACCGCCGTCAACGCCAACAACACGGCCACGCGTCGGCTCCAGCCGAGTGGGCAGCTCCGTACTGATAATGACCCCCGACGATCTGCTCGAGGCATACGAGCAGGCGGTGCTGGAGGCCGAGGCTGAGGAGGAGAGCGAGCAGAACGAAAACGAGCGTCGCGAATTACAGCGACGCGGCGGCAGTGGGAGAAAGCTCAGTCCACTCTCAACGTTCGTAGCAGTGCGTGACGGCCTGCTATTCATAGTCGGTAAAATCTTAAGATTCGTACGGCGCCTCGACATGCATGGAGGCGGTACCGGGAACAACATCAACTTTGTTGAGGGGCTCATCGACTTCCTCGCGGGCTCTTTGGGTGCGTATACACACACAGTGATGACGACACAGTGTCGCTAATTGATCACCCGTCTCCCCTCCCCCCATGATCTCTTGTCAGGTGGGGCAGCACAGGTGTATGTCTCGCAGCCGCTGGACACGGTCAAAGTGAAGATGCAGACCTTTCCGGAAGCCTATCGGGGCATGTTCGACTGTTTCGTGAGCACGTATCGAAAGGATGGTATATTCCGGGGCCTCTATGCGGGCTCCCTGCCCGCCGTTGTCGCCAATGTGGCCGAGAATTCGGTGCTCTTTGCCGCCTACGGTGGATGCCAGAAGTTTGTCGCTTTCATGGTCAACAAGGAGACAACCAGCCAGCTGACGGTCACCCAAAATGCCTGTGCCGGCTCCCTGGCCGCCTGCTTCTCCACGCTCACCCTCTGTCCCACGGAGCTGATCAAATGCAAGCTCCAGGCCCTGCGCGAAATGAAGCACTTCATCGATCCCAGTCATCCGCAGGATATTCGTACGCCCTGGTCCCTCACGCGGTACATTTGGCGCACAGAAGGTGAGTGGTGGGGGTGGGTGGGGGTCCCCAGTCCCTACATATAGCCCACACGTATTGTTGTTGTTGTCGTTGCTGTCGCGCGGCAACACTCGAGTTCCCACGATTAGATTATCTTGGCGTGGCTTTTCAGCAATCTAGCAATTCTTCTCCATAAACCATAATTATCGCATCGCCATGCGATGTCCGATATGGACAACAGAGCCAACCCAACACGACACTCCCCTCCACATGGTTCCACTTGATCGCGAGCGCTATGGCGCTGCCAGACTACTTCGATTTGGCGGTTCGTTTTTGAAAATCTCCTACCATTCGGAATGTGTTTAACACGTTCCTCTAAAAATAATGGCAATGGAATGAGCAGTAATTCCTTTTCAATTAGCAAATGCTAGTCCTGGAGTATAAATATTAGAAAATATTATTCTTTTTAGCCCTTAAGACATTTTTCAATCCATTATTGGCTAATCTTGGTTCTTTTTCACGCACAATCCAGGCATTGTGTTCTAATCTTGGTTCTCCATTCATGCGTGAGATTCCCGGCTATTTCTTCAATACAGCATAGAAAATAGTTTTAAAACCGGTTACAAAAGACATGCCACACAAAACAAGTTCCAAACACACATTTAAAATAGGTTTTGAGTTGAGTTTTCACATTGTTTTAATGCACATCTCATAAAAGTATAGATACAAAATGCGTACAAAACGGTATTCATACACAGATATTTAACAAACATTTTTATCTGCATACAGAATGGTAAAATAGTTACATCAAATAGTTAAAAACCTTTTCTCGGAAATTAAATCTATAAGTCAGGAAGCGATACAACATTTCTTCAATATTTTCAGAATCTCATTTAAGTATATTGCAAACATGCGATAATAGTTGATTAAAGCTGCCCACATCGCTTAAATCTAATCGAAACCGAATGAGTTGTCAGCCTTCTGTTGTTTTTTTTTTATATATATTTTCTTAAACAAAAAGAAAAAGGGCGAAAGAATGAATAATATTTACTACACAGCTTGTGTATACAGCGAATTATGAATTACTTGATATTTGATAAGAATATTCTCAGCCTCGTTGGCGTGCTCAGCCCGGGGATGCATGCCACGCACAATGACGTAGCAGTGAGCGAGTGCGAGTGAGAGCAAGATAGGGGAAGTTTGTGGATAATACAAATAGTTGAGAGTGCCCCCGCCCCTATCAGTTGTCAAGTGGAAAGTTACTGAATCGTCCGTTCTCCGTTCTCAGTTCCTGCTGACAGCTGCCAGATCAATGGGATGGATCATGGTTCATGGGGCGGGGAGCCGGGGAGACGCATACAATGATTCGGCTTGAATGTTGATTGATGTTCCGTCCTTATCGCGGCCATGTAACGTAGTAATTTCCATAAATATTGAACAAACGGAATGGCCTCCTCACGTGCCAATCTGTTTCCTTCTCTCTCTCTCTCTCAATGCTGCCATTGCATCTGCTATTTTCCATGCACAATCCATTAATTGGTTCTAATCTCCTACACACAGGCTTGCGCGGATTCTATCGCGGCTTGAGCTCGACATTCATGCGTGAGATGCCCGGCTATTTCTTCTTCTTTGGCAGCTACGAGGGCACCAGAGAATTTCTGCGCAGGTAAGAGACCCACCCGGCAAACAATACCAACATACATTTAATCATATTAATTTGTTGGTCAGGAACAATCAAACCAAAGATGAAATCGGAGCATTGCGCACCATGGTGGCCGGCGCCATTGGCGGCGTCTGTCTGTGGACCTCCACGTTTCCCGCCGATGTGATCAAGAGCCGCATCCAGGTGAAGAACCTCAATGCCAGCATGTACGCTGTCGGTCGTGAGATTGTACAACGCGAGGGCGTCCTGGCACTCTATCGCGGCCTGCTGCCATCCGTTCTCCGCACCATACCGGCCACGGCCACACTCTTTGTCGTCTACGAGTACACCAAGCGAGCACTTCATGGCACCCTCTAGCGACACATGGGGCCGCGGGCGGTCGCTGTCATCGTCGTCGTTCTCGTTATCGGTCAACAACTATGCCATAATTCTTTCGCGCATATTTTTTTTTTTTTCGTTTAGTTAGATAATTTTTTAGGTATTAGTGGCCTGTGTCTGTGTACATTATTCAGATATCATATGACTGACTATATATCCATGCTGTTTGCAATCGATGTTGATTTTCTGATGTTTGGATTGGCTTCTGTGATCCTGATCTTAGATCCCGGCCGCCTGGCGCAGTCGTCGCTTGAGAAAGTCCTGACGATCTGCGGATGTTTCCAGCTCACGCCATTCGTGCCAATAGATCTACCGGAAAGCCAATGGGTATTATATGGTATATGTAGTTTAAGCGAAAAAAGATGTACAATAGATGCGTATATAAAAAAAATATATATACTTTTTGCACAGCAGAAGGATGATGATATAAATGGTATAAATGTAGCATAATTTCGGAAAAGTTGTTCATTTTTTAACGCATCGTTTTTCCCCAGCTCTGTTAATATTTTATGTTTTTTAAGAGGCATTTCTCAGGCTTAATAAAGGGAAGGAAGACTCGAAAATTACTTAAAATATGATTCAACTAACAAATCCTAAAGCAATCGGATGTAAATGTTATTGTTTCCATTTATGATCAGAATGTGAGCACATTTACAGACTATTTTAATCAGATAAAGGACTCCGAACTTTCACAAAATGCTCGCTGGCAATAGATGAACAAAAATCAAAGAAAAACACGAACTTTGAGGCATTCGCTGTTTAGCTTTTAAGTCCACAAAAAACCTTATAAAGGTTAAGGGTTATCCCTTTTTCATACACTCATTTCTACTCTCAATGGATAAATAAATTTTCATAAGAAACAAATCTGTAGAGTCCTCGTGTCTGTATAGCTACTTTTGGGGCACTTTTAAGGGATGATATGAGAATTGTATTTTGAATTTATTTTGGAGCCACTCACCACCACCGGCTGGTGTCCCATTTGCTTGAGCTGCTTCAGCTTCATCGCCAGCTGACCCGTGTGCCGCTGCTTGTCCCGTATCACATTGTTCCAGCCGGCAATCACAACGATCACGGTGGCCAGTTGGTCATCGTGCTCCCTGTCAGCGCCGAGCAGATGCCGCCTGGTGAGGATCACACCGCTGTAGTCCGGCGGACAGGCTTCCGCATCGATGGGCAGTGCACGCTGCTGACGACGGTCATAGCAGAGGACCAGATCACAGCGCTCGTACTGGGGCAGGATGTGCTTGAAGCTGAGGTGCCGGTAGAGGTCGGAGGCCGCGTCCCGGACGTCCACCAGAATGCGATCGGTCTTGTTCAGCTTGAAGCGTCCCTCCCGCTCGGGTATGTACTGCGTGTAGAGCTTTCCCATCTGCTGGATCTGCCGTTCGGTGAGCAGGGGGCCCTTGTACACATCTTTGCCCAGGAGGCGGGCACATCCATCCAAATGGAAGTACTCCCGACCGGGCAGGCCGCCGCGGTACGCATGCTGAAGGAAGCGTGGCTCGAGGGCCACACCGAGCAGCTCCGCATCGTAGACACCGCGCATGGTGAGGAACTGGAGGCAGTTGGTGAAGCATCGTGGATAGCGCATGATCTCGTCCAGACGTTGGCGTATCACATCGGGCAGCCGCTCGGCCAGACGCCTCTCCACACCGGACACACTCTCCAGGTTGAACAGGGCCATGACCAGGCCTATGCGCTCCATATCCTTGAGGCGGGCATGGTCCAGCTCTTGCTCGAAGCGCTGAAGGATGCGTTCGATGAGCTGGTCGTCGCAGGTCTGCAGCTCGCAGCCGAGCAGGGCCATGTGCAGGCAGGCCAGCAGGGAGACGCGCTCCACCTGCGGCTCCAGGTCGCGAAGCAGCCGGATCAGCGGCTCCACGTGCGGCAGCTTGCTGCTGTAGCGCAGAACTTTTAGCAGGGACACCAGGGTGATGTCCTCCACGGTGTCCAGCTCTCTGGTTAGTCTAGCGAAGAGCTGGTTGAGCAGCTCGGGATTCCGGATCTGCGTCTGGGTCTTAAAGAAGCCCATGGCCATGACGCCCAGCTCCTGGAGCGTCATCTGATCGATACAGCGGGCCAGATTCATCTCAAAGTCGAACATCTCGAAGATGGGGCGCCGCAGCAGGTTGCAGAGGAACATGGACTGGACGAGCTGTTCCGGCGGCAGCTTTCGCAGCTTGCGGCCCAGCTTCTTGAGGGCCAGCCACACGTACTCCCCGATCCTGGCCAGACCCAGCTGGTACCAGGCATCACTCACCAGCAGCAGCTGCCCCGTGGGCCAGCGCTCGATCCGCCGACAACACTCGATGTCCAGTGTGTTCCACAGCTCCATGTAGTTCCGCGTCTTGGTCGATTCCGGTTTCGGCAGCTGGCCCAGGGCACGCATTGTGCCCAGCACCTGGTCGTCGGACAGATGGTGCATCTGCTCGCAGTATGTGCGAGCGAACCCATCGAACTGTGGCTCACTGATTTGGGTGTTCGTTTCCGCACAATGTTGGACCAGGGCCAGAAAGTTCGCGTACAGAGCGGCGGGACTGAGGTTCCTGCCCGGCTCCAGGTAGCCATCCGAAGTGGCCTCCTGCAAGGGACTTTCGATGGGTCTTAGGATATGATAGGGCTTCAGGGACTCCGACAGAATGCTGTGGGCGAACTGATTCTCCCTGTCCACAAAGATTTTCGCCGGCACAATCACGGAAGTGCGAATGTGACGGCACAGGAGGCGTGGCGCCTGCCGCCCTACACTCCGCCAGAGGCAATTGACCCGTGTCCACATGATGCTACTCAAATCAATGGCTTCGTTTCATTTATCTCGAATTATTTTTCTTTAAAAGCACATTACGAAAGTGGAGCTACAGAATTGGAAGCGAGGAAAAAACAGCTGTTTTTGCAGGAGCTGCCACATCACCAGAAAAATATGAACTAAGCGATTATCAGAGTTTTTGATGAATTTCCATAAAAACATAAAACAATTTTAAAGCAGTACAACTTACATTATCCCAATCCACCTTTTCTGATCATCACCAGAAGTGTTTGAAACAATTGTTGACAATATTATTTAAGGCTGCTACATCACTGGAAAAAGAAAGAATCCACGATATCGATATGTGGCGATATTCACAACGGATATCATTTCGATTCAATTATCTCTTGATTTGAATGTTAAAATTGGTTGTGGAATATGAAAGAAAACGGTGAAGAGGCCACAGTGGACGATATAAAATAAAGTTAAAGTTAGGTAACAGTTCATCGCCTGGCAAACTCAAGTCGATATTTTTCAACACTTGAACGATTAAGTGTACGAAACTGGTAAAAACTAATCGGAACTATTGCCAGACTGTTGAAGGCAACAGCTGTTAGTTTTTCTGTGTTCAGTAAGAGACGCGTCGTTTGTTTCGAGCCCGATTTTACAATAATACTGTCGTTCAGTTAAGCTAAGCTACATTTACTTTTGTTCGGTGTATCTTGTGGTTACCAGAAACGATATTCGCTTGCTCATGATCAAAGTAAGTGCTTACCAACAGTACATACGCGTATTTATTCAGGCCTAGTTCAACCTAGTGCAACCGATCCTAATCGATGGACTGTCTACAGGCATTTTGCCCACCACTACAAATTCCAAGTGTTGCATATTCATATCTTCTGATGCATCAAGTTTTCGTTTTTATGATCTGTTTTTACAAGTTGTAATTACACATGCATACATGGATGTCTATCAGCTGTTTCCGATTTCCATGCGCTTTCGCGCACTGTATCACTTTAGTGTTAAAAGTCATACTTCGACGATGTGGTTTAGCGAATTTTTCTACAAAAGGCTTGTACCAATGAGACTATAAAATACCAAGATAATTCCAAGTGGATGTGTGTAACACTCAGATGGACTCCATAAAGTATCAATAGCATCAATAGCCGAATCGACACAGCCATGACTGTCTGTCCTTCCCGATGGGTAGATCCTAGAGACATAGAGAGACCAGAGGCCTAGATCTCAGAGATTCTAAATGCTAGATCAGCCATATTTTGTATCGTAAAACCTGTGATATCATACTGTTACAAGTGTACATTTTTCAAATCTTTACCATTTCCCCTACCGCTCCCACAAAGGACGAAAATCTGCGAGCCATCGATGACACTATCGATAATATCGAAGGTTTTACAATTTTCTGATGAGTCTATGGTTTTTTTCGACCATCGATATATCGTTTCAAAGAATAGGAATCTTCAATCTCCTAACACGAAACCTCCAACCACACACAAATACAATAATTTATAAAATTTTTGTGGCTTAAAAAAAATGATAAGCCGATGCATAATAAAGATAAAGAGATAAAGATAATGATAAAGAGCCGCAAAATGCATCGCAAAATACCATCCGCTCCAATACTGGAAGCGCGAAAGCATTGAGAGAAAAAAAAATCCACAGTATCGTAGAAAATTACCAATCTGGATCAGATCGGATTACCTTTACAGCCAGAATGAAGAAGTAACTTTGCAGTTGCTATCCTACAACCTTCCAGCGCTGCAGCGCTACTCATTTTCTTTCTGCCTCGGAGAAACCTGTATAACCTACATTGTAGATGTAGATAACTGATGTAGCAAAAAAGTAAACTGATAAAATATTTAAATATTCCACATAAATCATAACCTCACACATGTATATACTGACTGCAAAGTAGAGATGCGGCAAAAGAATCGACTCACAACGTTCCCTCTCGCTTTAAAAGTTTTCGATAGAAATTTCGATATATCGATGTTTTAAAACCATCGATTATAAAACGAGCATCGATGGTTTATCAACCCTAATTATAATAATTATAAGATGTCGTGGTTCCTCTCTTTCTCCGTAAGGTTTCCCATTATCGTAACAAGGGCGAGCCAAATTGTGAGTGATCGCGGAAAGCTTAGCCTCCCCACATTACTAAATACTAAAAGAGAAACATGATCGATTTTTTAAATTTGATTCTGCTTGTATCCCTGAAATTCTTAGACAAATTTTTTATTTTATTTTTGTACACGAAGTGCTGATTGGAGGTGTTGATCCTCCATCTGGATTCTGCAAAACAAAGTATGATACACAAGGGAAGCACAAGGGAGACTCAACGAAAAGCTTGTGTTAGTATTGCTGGTTTATTGGCTCACCATTAGACGGAGCTGAATCAAAGTAGGAGGAGGAGAGGAGATTTTACAGTGCCGTAAAAAAAACGCATTCAAATCATAGTTTGTAATCATAATCATAAATTTTGAATAAATGTTGTGTTAGAACTGGCTTACACCCATACATTCAAATGCGCTGCTCATGATGCGGTTTTACCCGAACAGTGCCGAACGCGTGGGCAACCAGCCGAAGCTGAGACATCCCTAAGCCAAAGACCTCGGGGAGCTCACGCAGCCAATTCTGTTGGCACATCTACATATATACTGCAGCGATCCGCAAGGTCCTATTACATGTAAGCAGCAGAGCACATGTAATAGAGCCTTGCCGATCGCTGGCGCTCACATACACGTGATAACAGTGGCTGGCAGCACTACAATGCTCCGTTTTTCCTGCTGTCAAAACTAAAGCCTAGTACTCAGATCCAAAAACTGTTTGCCAGCAAACAAATGTCATATATTCTTCTAGCGGCCAGATGTGTGACCAGAGGTGTGCACTGCATTCGGGTACGACAGCTGTGGTGTTTAAAAATTAATAAAAATAATATATTTTAATATCCATATAATTGTCCTTCATAAAATGCTGCATTAATTAGATTCTATTTGTCTTCATTATTAAAATATATCATTTGGTTTTTTGTTTTCATATTGCAATATCAAATTGATATAGGTTTGGAGGTCGGTAGAAACATACCAGCAATACAAACAAATACTTCGGATATTTTGTCTACCCCTTTTTTTTTGTTGATCTGAGCCTAGAAAACAGTTTTTGACCGACAAAATTTCTTATCGGTTTCATACGTATCAACCCTGACTGTTCGCGAGTATTTTTCGCTGAGTACGGCTTTAAAAACTCACTGCACGCATGTGTACCGTGCCGATCATACCGAATGGTTAGTTTCGGAGCTTAACGAAATATCTCGGAGACAAGCGTTATATTTTCGCGAAAACATAAGTTGTTTTTAAAACTAAGTATCTGCGTTACAATTCTTAGCGGAAAGATGCTGCTGTGACCACCAAATCGGGCGCTGAATAATACAATACAATATACAATTTTGTTTTTGTTTGGTGTCACTGCCCTTACTTGAAGTGTAGTGTGGAATAGATAACGCAAAAGCAGGCGACTGAAACAGATGGTTGTCACTCAGGCGGAGTTGCCACACCTCTTGAATAAGTGGCACTGCGATTAATATATGTATGTGCATATATCGATAAATGCGCACTCCTCTCCTTTGCGTGAAGCAAGCGATTGTTGTTGTTTCGTTGATGGAAATTCGCATAGATCCAATGAATTAATAGCCTGACCATACACTTTTCAGAGGAAGCATTCCGTTCAAAATGCTGAAGTCAAGCCCCGTACCCGGAAGTTGCCCGTGACGATGATGCCCAATGCGCCATCGGTGGCCCGGACAATACAAACTCGGGCTAAAATGTCACAGGGAACCATGTTCATTCGCAAGCCTCAGCCCCAACGATCGTTGATTGTGCTACGGGATCCTCCCATCGACCTGGAGCTGGAGCAGGAACAGGATGACATTCTGAGTGTTCACGGTAAGCGCAGCGGATGGTTAATTAGCAAGCAGCCCACACTACAGCCACTATTCCACTCTCTTGCAGATGAAGAATTCAAGGATCTGACGGACAATGAGTCTGTGGTGAGTCTCGGGTCGAGTCGTGACGACAGCTGCGAGGAAGTCACCTCCATCACCATAGACGCCTTTATGGATACAACACCCGCGGTAGCTGTAGACTCGTCCATGGACGATTCTACCACACGGGACGCCACCACTAGCCCCAGAGATAAAAGGAAACGCTTGATCAAGGCGGTGCACAAGCGACGTGTCCTCTATGATAGCAAACATCGCAGCTTCCACGACAGGGATTTCAAGAATGATATGTGGCGTAGCATTGCCCGACGCCTTTCGATCGAGATGGAAAACTGCGTTGATATTTGGACCGAACTGCGCTACGAATTCCAGTGCCATAAGCGTCAAATGTACAACTATAAGCGAAAAATTGCCCAGAATCGTCCGTGCGGTAGCCGTCCCTTTATGGTGCACGAGGAGGAGATGTGCTTCTTGTATCCGCATGTGGCCTGCCATCCGTTGATACGGCAGACGAAAGTAGCCGAGCCAGCGAAAGAGGAAGATGTGGTGATGGTGGATACCGCACAGCCAGTGGCTATTATCGATTTGGATCTGGACGATGACAACTTCAGGATCACGCCCGATATGCGTCGCCTCATTGAAGCCGTACGCTTCTATCCACAATTATACAATGCATCACACAGCAGCTACAGCGATTACCGGCATCGCGGCCTCATCTGGGGCGCCATATCCAACGAGCTGGGTGAAAAGGCCACCAAGCTGATGAACCAAGCCCCAAATGAGGCTTCAGATCTGATGAAATTGATGATATTCCTTATACCGCACATACCCCACATGAAGGAGTCTGTGTATAAGACCTCCAAGTACCTGACAAACACCTGGCACGATCCCATCGAGCAGTTTCGCAGTGTGATGACGCTGGTTAATATGCTGAAGAGCAATCCAGAGCTGGTCCAGCTCACCGATGAGTATCTGCACTTTAAGAATAAGCCGCCAGGGTATCACGAGCTGTGGCAGAAGGTCGCCACCCAGGCGATGAGCACACCCGAACGCTGTGAGGTCACCTGGCTGGTGTTGCGCTCCTTTCACAGCGAACTCGTGGAGATGCGATTGGCCAGCTATAAGCTGCAGGACAAGTGGTTCTTCGAGAGCACCATCACCACGATATACAGGATGGTCGTTGAGCGCACAGTAAATCGTGAGGGCCATAAGCAAGACTCCAGCAGCGATCCGAGCGTGCGAACGCCCATGGCCAGAGTGGCCCTGCTGGACAGTATGACGGATGAGTCACTAAAATCAGCAAAGACTTCACCACGTATGCCACTGGCCATTGTTTATCCGTCCTCTAGTGTTAAAGCCGTGTTCCATATTCCCCCCACCACAACCAGTAGCAACAGCAGCAGCACCACCACCACCCCCATCAGCACCACCGTCACTACCAAAACCACCGCAATCTCAAGCAGCAGCAGCACCACCACCACACTGGCCACTGCCACTTCCACTGCCACTGCCAGCATAGCCACAAGTACAGTAAGCTCATCAGCCTGCGGCACAATCATCAAGAATGATGGCCTCAAGTACATGAAATCCTTGAGTTTGGCAGTGCCCAACAACACCTTGAAGATGACAAAAAATGTATCGGCTATACTGGATGGGAATCCAGTGCCCAAAGTAATTGTGGTGCATCGCAGAACGCCGTTGCCGGCTCCAGCTATGCCCACCTATAGGATACGATCCGGTGTCCCGGTGGTGTCAACACCACCTATGAGATCTCCTGCACCTGCCATTGTCATGGCAACAAAACAAAATGCTGTGCCTGTTCCACCAACAAATGGCATGGGTACGGCACCGTTAACTGCACTAAGGGAAGCCACAGCTATCACAATCATGCCACCAAATGTAGCCTTGAAACGAAAGCGACCGTCGATCAGTGTCAATGGCAACATCAGCAGCATCAGCAGCAGCAGCATCAGCAGCAGCAGCATCGATGGCACTGGTAACCGGTCCTCAACCAGCGAAACGGAAACCGCATCAGAACCGAATGATATTCCATTGCCAGCAATAGCAAACAGCCGCCTGCAAATGCAAATCATAAGCAAAATTAAAGTAGAACTTTTGGAGAGTTTGACGGATGGGAATTCGCTGCATATACATGGCGGTGCGCTGACCACCCACTACTCAATGAATATGACGCGTGTGGCTTCGCTGATACGAGAGGTGATGGCCATACCGATTCTACACAACAGCAATCCAAAATTGGCGGTCAAGAAATCTGAATTTTGGGCTAATGTGGCCAGGAAATTTCACATGCCAGGTAATGCCCCTCGCCACCAAATCCAATTCATGTATTTATAACAAACGTTTTATTTATTTTTTTTTATCATTTTGTAGCTGATGCCTGTCGCGCCATTTGGAAATTTCTGAGCGAGAACATCAGCCTGTTTCCGGCGATTGCGCCCATGCCGGACCTGATGGGTCCCTACAAGAGCTACCCCAAGAGTTGGGAGAAATCGGATCAGCTATTTAGAAAATTCGAAGCGACTGCCCTCAAGAACAGATGGGCTAAAATCAAGGATCAGCTGCCCCTGCTAATGATGCACTTTCGCATGTACGAGCATCTGTACAGCGATATGCGCAGGCCGCGGCCCGGCGAGCTATTTCAACTCAGACATGTTACCCAAGAGCAGCGTGATGACGTATGGCGGGTGGCCAACACAAAATTTCCCGATAGTAAGTTTTGGGTAATTCTGTTAATTAAATTAAATTAAATTAAATTAATGCTTATTAATTTCAGTCAATCATATGGAAGTTTGGTCCACATTTAAGAATACTTTTCGCACATATATGGACGACCTGGAGTTGGGCATTGAGAATCCATGGCCGCGGCTATGGTGGACGACCTTCGATCAGCTCAGATTCCTTGTGAATGTGCGCTATCATCCGCTGGAGCCATACTACTACATAGTCCACACCAAGATCAGGGAGGAGGTGAAGCGTTGCAGTATTTATGAGAAGATGATGACGCCGCGTCCCGCCGATCTCACGCCAAAGCCAAAAGTGTTGGGCAGCCAGGTACGCATTGACTGGGAACCATTGCCCTGGGACACCGAAGAGGCCAAGCGTCTGCTGACGGGTAAACTGAGAGCTGACTCAGTCGTGCCAAACGCTATTGCTCCTGCTCCACCTCCAGCTAAAGCTACAGCTGCATCTCCAGTGGCTGCTCCTGCTGCACCTCCGGCGGCTGCTCCTGCTGCACCTCCGGCGGCTGCTCCTGCTGTTCCTGTTCCTGCGCCGGCTCCAGCACTACCTTTAGCTCGGTCTCTTCTTCGTCCTCGTCCTCTTGTTCTCGTTGCCAAAGGATTCAAAGGCGCGACTATGCCTGCTGTGAAAATCAAGGGCCAGAAACAGTTGCCGACGGCAGGCCGGACATGTGAAAAATTGAAATTAACAACGGAGCGACCCTTGCCGATTATACCAGCCTTTGAGGTGACCAGTACTCTGCGACAATATCCCAACACCTTCAAGCGATCCTCCACCAATGAAAAGCGCACCGCCTGGGTGAATGCTGCCAACGAACTGAATGCCACAGGTATGCAAAACACACAATTGATAGCCCACAAAATGTCAACCTATACTAATCTCACCCTCACCCCCTGGCAGTGACTGATTGCCGCTTGAGCATGCAGCATGCCCTACGCGAATTGCGTACCCTGAAAATTGCCGATCCAACGAACCAATGCCAGATGGGACAAAACTATTATCGCCACATGAATGAAATATACAAGGAGGTCAACTCTGCGGCACCATCGGTCAGTGCCGGCCAGCTGTTGGTGCGAACACCGCAGCAGCTCAACGAGACACTGGCCGAAGCGGCCACCAAGGAAACGATGGTGCCGAAACGCTTCATTCCGGAAATCTCCATGAGAAACTGCGAACCACGTCTGGTGCTCAAGAACTGGGCCCATGCCATGGGCAGTTTCAGTACCGAAAACCAGCAAAAGTTGGTCGGAAAGCTTACCGATATGTTTGCCAAATATGCGCAGGCATCGAAGGGAGCAAAAGCCAAAAACGAACCCAGCAAAAGCAGTCAAAATGCATAAGGCTAGTCCACGAAAAGCCCCTGACCAATACACAACACACAAATCACAAATTTTTGCATAATATTTCAGTTATATATGAGTGCCGCACCACCATCAAAGCCCATAATATTGTAGTTTATTTATTTATAAGCGATATATTTACTTTTATCACGAGCATAAACTGTATCCATGAAAGATGTGTTTATTTATCCTTGGAGCCAGAGAAATCCAATGCTAGAGTGCAAATGATACAGCCATAAAATATTTAATTACCCCATAGGACCCTAATGAAGCCTCCATTAAATGCGTTTGTAATAATATTCCAAGCGGTATTCTTCACTTTTTGGCTTCACAAATTTGTATCTAAAGTTTTGTATTTTTTGTCATTTGTTTTTTCATGGAAAGTTTTTTTTTGGTATCTTTAAGAGCGCAAATTGAAATGAAATGCAAATTAAAATTTTTTAAAATGTTTTCCAAGCTTATACTTAACAAACCGAGAGCAATAATAAATAATAAATGGCAAATTAATTTTATAAAAGCCCAAGAACTGAGGACAGATAATTGAAAATCTTTAAATATGCAAAAGTATGTGCAACATAAGGGGAGTAGCATATACAGAAAATCCATTCAATTGGCTTTATCAAGAATCATAGAAAAACAAAATTCGAAATTATACTCTAAAATATAGTAAATTATTTATAGTTATTTATAAGACAATTATCAAATTTATTTATGCTAAGAGTTGAAGTAGGAGCTCCCCACAAAATTATTATGTATATTATGTATTTCTATGAAAGATATACCCAGCTCTGTTTTTGCAGAAGCTGGACAACAACAAAAAAAAGTTGCAAAAAAATTATATTTATATATGTATATATTTTTATTTTTGTTTTGGGACACCATAACTTGGTTTTTTTTGGTAATAAAATAGTTGGAAATAGTTTTTGTTCGTTTAATGAAAGTTTGTTGAGTTTTGCCCTCTCGTATTATGTTGTTTCCCCTTCCCATCAACCCATGCCGAGCATCCTCAAGTCATGTGGGATGGTGTGAAGAAATTTGTTGGTCAATCGCTGGGCCCCCCCACTTTTATGAGCAACTACGAGGACATCAAAGTAAGCCCCTCACAAATTGGCAACTAGGACAATGGGCCCACATATGATGTGTGATTGGAGGGATGATTTTGCTGCGTTGGCGCTAAACGAAGGATCAAATATAATTGGAATGCACATTGAACAATTTAATTGGATGCAGAAATAGTAGAAAATACCAAACAAAATGTAACGCAATTTGATTGTTTTTGTTTTTGTTTTCACCAACAACAAAATTTTTTGCTATTCTTTGGGCCCGGCGAAGCAACCAAGCGGAAACTGCCAGTGTCCTTCAGTGGGGATTCCAGCTTAGGCTTGGGCGACTTCAGGCGAACAGTGTAGATGTCAGAGTATTGCGCCTGATAGGTTTCGTGTATCTTGAGCGAGAGAGTGGCAAAGATTTGGTCAACATTGACCCCGCTCCTGGCGGATGCCTCACAGAAGGCGAGTCCCTTGCCGTCGGCAAAGGTGAGTCCCTGCAGTTGGCTGATCTTGCGGCATTTCAGATTTTCGCACTTGTTGCCCACCAGGACAATGCACACGTCCCGCTGGCTGAACATTTTGATCTCATCCAGCCAGCACGGCAAGCTCCTGAAACTGGATGGTTTTGTGGTGTCGTAGACCAGCATAATGCCGTGCACTTCACGATAGTAGCTGGGAAACAGGGGACGAAAACGCTTCTCGCCGGCCGCATCCCAGATGAGTAGCTGCACCACCTGTCCGGCCACCTCAATGTAGTGTATACCCAGCTCCACACCCACGGAGCTGTGGTACCGGGCCGTGAAACGTCCGCCCATGAAGCGCTGCAGCAGACTGGTTTTGCCCACGCCAGAATCGCCCAACAACAGTATCTTGAAGTGCATCTCGAAGTCGAACCGTATTCAACTCCTGAGTTTCGGTTGAGTCAATGGAACGGAATGGTTTCCCCTAGAACTATTCACAGGAGCTCAGTCGCTAAGGAACGTTCGAACTAGACTGAACTGAGTATCGTAGCTGGTGTGGAATGTATGGAAAAATGTATGTCAAAGGTAACATGATGCATTATTTTCAGAGAAAATTGGCATAGTAAAAGGAAACAGACCCGACCCACAAATGAATTAATTGAAATTCAAATTCAACTACTCGGTCTTTAAATACAAACATTGGCAAATTAAGTGGAATTTACTTTGATTTAAAAATAAATGTATTTAAAATAAACTAAATAAAATTGATTGAAATTGTAGAAACTTTGTTATATGTAAATATATACATATGTAATTGATTTAATTTAAATATGATATATTTTTATATAAATACGAACATTTTTAATTTAAATATGAAGGCAATGCAAATATTTAATCAAAATGCAAAACATATTTTATATCAAATATTTTCATATTAATATCAAAATTAATCACTTTCCTTTTACAATTTATTGTCTAAATGTCTCTATAAATAGCTCGAATTGAATGAGCAAATTTACGCTTATTTATGGGAAGTTTTTCCTTGCCGAAACTTCTCCTTTCAAGTTGGAGAAGTCCTAAAAAATAACGGACAAGCAAAGGTGAGCCCACCTATCGGTCTGCGGAAATGGGTAAAGGGGCTTAAAGTCGTTCTTCCAACGTAACAAAGATACGTATGTACTTCTAGCCAACTGTTTACTCTGAATGTCCATAAAAATTAACATTAAACTGCCAGTGGGGGGGCGAGGTTCGTGTTTGGGTGGGGAAAGATCAAAATGGTACAGGACCCCGCGGACTGCCATCATAATCATTCCCGCATCTGATGGCGTTGGCAATAATGTTTGCTCCGGGTGATTAACGCAATTAAACAGGTGCTCAAAATGATGTTTCCAGTGGATTAGCTGCCCCGCCCACCACACCCCACCCCAGTACGAGCTGTACGAGAGGAGGCTTAACGTGGGGAGTGGACGGAGGACGAACTTTTTTTGGGGGATGGGATTGGTGGACGGTGGATGAGGGATGGGAATGCGTATGTCCGCTAATAAGGGACACATTAGCAACATGCGCCACACGTTCGCATTATTTCTGGGTAGATGGTGGGTGGGTGGGTGGATGGATGGGGATGACGTTAAAATTCCATTAGCATCCCATTGGATGCTGATGCTTGACCTGAAGCGGCCCACCTTGATGGTGGATGGATGGATGTTTAGATGGCTGGATGTTTGGGCACCTTAATGATTGCTCAGGTGTTCGTGGGTATTCGTATCTTCTAGTGGGTTCCATTGATGACTGCTCTGCCCTCTGCTCACTTATGCAATTGCCGCCATCCTCTGGACATGATGAGCCACTTGCTCGGAATGATTTACTCAAATTAAATTCACAATTTCAGCCATTTTAAGACGCTTCTAAAGTGGATAAACAGAGGGATACCCTGGATAGCCTTAGTTATAGATAGATGGTGGAAAGATCTTTTCTCTGAGTATTCTGTATACTCCTTATGCTGATTGACTACTGGACACAGACTGGCCATCTGCTACCCTGTAACGTGGTTACTTTGGTGCCTAGAGGGCGACCACAAAAACTGCTAATTGAAGAGTTTTCGTTACTGCCTGGCGTTGTTGTTTTATGCTTTTCATTTGTTATTCCCATGTTTTATTGTTAAGAAATACAAAGCATAAAAACAAAACCAAAAAAAAAAAAAACCCAACAACAAACAATAAAAAGCAAACTATTTAATGACAGTCGGTCGGTCGGTAGTTCGGTCGGCAGCCCACACAAACGGCCCCAGACTCGGATTCAGAATGGGTCTCAGACTCTCAGCATAGTTCAATGGATTGCTACTGGGCCACCGACCAGAAATAAGTACGTTTTATAAGCGAATAAGTGTTGAGGAATACGAACATAATATACCCAGTACGGCAGTACCTCATACCAAAATGATTGGATCAAAATTCTACAGGGAATTGATTTTATTTTTTTTTAACTCAAACAGAGCACAAAATTCCGATTGGCTTTGGCTGAAATTTGGAAGTTAATTAAATAATTTATAAATATTATTAGTGGAATATAAGAGAACTGTATCTCTAATGTTGTGAAAGCCACAGCAAGGGAGAGTGCCCGGGAGTGCTGGAGAGCCTGATGCACTGTTAAAACACATGCCAAATGAGGACATAACTCTCTGTCATTACAGGGTATTCAGCGCAACAACAAGAGCAATACTAAACAGCGGGGAGAGCAAAAAGAGAACACGCCCCGCTTTCGGGGACGAGTAAAATGTAAACAGAAAAGCCATTAACGGTTACAACAACAGCAGCTCTTATTGTTGCTGTTGTTGGAATTTTTTTTATTGGAATTGTTGCTGGAACTGTGTAGGGAAAAAACAATTGCAATTTCGCAAAAACAAAGATAATTTGCGAATGAGATCGACGACACGATACAAAGGCAAGACACCGAAAGATGAAGCCCTTGAGAGAGATGGAGAGAGAGGAGTACTGGAACGATCAGCTGTTAAAGCAAAGAGCAACGGAAATAAGCTGGAGCGAGGTGTTCAAAGAGCGGCAATGAAGAGCTCACCAAATTTAAATAAGTCCTGTGGAACAGAACAAAACGGTGCGATCCGCAAATCGGTTACCAAGTCCCTTACAAAATATGCCGTTGATCATTTTTGGTATATTATATTTCTTCAATTCAATCATCGATAACCTTCCGCATTCAAAGCTAATAAAAATATTATTGATGTCAATGCCAAAAACCCGAACACGTTGAATCAACCCAAAAATATACAAATATGTCAGCGTAAAGTGTCAACAGTAATCGGAGTTCGGCCTGAAGTGCTGACCCCAAAATTCGGTGGCAATTGGGCTGTGGGCTTTGAGTTGAGGGCAGTCAGGGGCGGGCCTGACCCGACGCACTGACCCAGTAAACGTGCGTAATCCACAAAATATCAGAAACCCACGAAATGCAGGAGAAAAAAAAACAGTGGAAAACCAACAAAAATCTGGTTTCCGACGTGACTTGTTTATTACGCCTAACGAACTTTCTATGGGAAGGGCCGCTGCCACCACTTGGCACTTGGATAATCTTGGGTACTGCACTGCCGAGTGGAGAGCATCCCAGCAATCAGAGTACCGGCACAAAAATATTAATGAAAACAAGAAACAGCTTCCGCCGACCTCTTGTTCCTATGGAAACAACAATCCGATTTGCATCGAATTTGGATCTTTGGATTGGTTGAATGCCTATAGACATCTATAGTCAAAAAAAAAGTCCTTTGGTAGGCGGCTCCCCCACTACTTTTATGGAGATGTCTACGACTATAGTTACGCGTTTGACTAAATACTCGTATATTGTACAGATTTAATGGGTACTTGCCTAACGACATAAAAACCCAGAAGAAGGAAAGCAAACGTCACGGGATTTCTTCTGTTTTCTTCCATTTCAATCCAAATGAGTAGATTTATTCAATTTGGAAGACTGCAACACTACTATTTCATAGTATATATGTCATATATCATTAGTCAGGTCAAGGGAGATCTTCTTTTAGTATTATTAATAAGAATCTAAATCTTGGAGGGTATCTTCCCCGAATATTGATAAAATGCGGCGGTAGAGTTAGGGAGTCATTATTATTATTTGTGATATGCTTAATTTCCTCCGCATAGAAACAACTCTTAACTGGCAAATCTGTACATTTATTTTTCCAAGAACACTTCACTTTCAACATATTTTCACTATTTGTTGTCATATTGTATGTAATTTCATAACTTTGTAACCACAGTGCGCCAATCGGTTCTTCTGCCTCTGCTTGCCTGCTGCCTGCCTGGCTGATTTTATATCCTTCCAGAGAGTGCTATTATTATGAAGAGATGCTTGCCATGTGCTGGACAAAGCATCTTTGATTCCATACGAATAACAAGAAAAAGAAATGCGGGGAAACTTTCAACAGTCTCTTGGCCGGATTTCACAGTTGGAATCAGATCACAGATCGCGCAACTATTGCCATGGCAATGGATCTATCTGCAAGGGTATCAAAAGCTTCGCCCTTAGATGCTCAATTTCCTCACTTGTTGTTGCTGCTATTATCGCACACAAAACACACGCTGCTGCTGCTGTTGCTGCTGTTGCTGCTGCTGCTGCTGCTCTGTCTCGGTTCATCGTTTTGTCTGCGCTTCGTTTCGTTACTTTTGCTGTTTCGGGCTTCAGTTCGAGTTCGCACTCGGGAGTCGTCGCACAATGGGACCATCGGCCATTTCAGATTGCTAAATTAATATTTTCATGATATATGTATACAGTTGGATTACTTTATTTGAAGATTGAAAAATCAATTTTTCATTAGGAGTCTTTCCAACAAGCCAAATTTTTGTTATTAAACAATAAAAACACCTAAAATTAGAGACCTAAATTCATGATATAGTTTACATTTTATTCGACCTAAAATTGAGTAAGTTGCTGCTCACTGAAAATATCTCCTAATCTAAAGATCCGCTTATCTTAAAGTTTCCATTTCACTTTTGCCACATCTTTCAGGCTGAGGCCCCACTGTGCGCTTTTTTCGTTGTCGTGCTGTCGTCACTGACGCAGCCGCAGTCGCCGTCGTTGCCTATCTCAGTCGCTGCGCCGCCGCGGCGGCCGAAAGAAACCGAAACCGAAACGGTCATTATTAATTCGTACGTAGTCGCAGTCATAGTCGCGGTCGCCGTTTTGCGGTTGCGGTCGCAGTCGCCTGTCGTGTGTAGTTTTCCCTCGCCATCCCATAAGAACCGTTGCAGCCCGGCCCGGCCCGGCGTTTCGTATTTTGTCGCAGAAGACCAGAAGAAGATTTTCCCCCGCACCCAGAGATCAGCGGGACTCGTGTGTCGTCGTCGCGCTTAATTAAATACTCTTATTTTTTTTCCCTCCTTATTATTTTTTGTTGTGTTGTGTTGTTCCGACAACCCAATTAAATATAGCTTTAATTGTTTAATAGCAACAACCAGCAGCAACAGCGCACAAAGAGCAAAAAGAAGTAAAGTTAAGTGCGAAAAGTAAAGTGAAGTTTCAGTGAGTTGAGTGAGTGTGAGTGATTGAGTGCGCGATTGGTGCCCCTGCGCGTGTGTGAGTGTGGGTAAACAATTGGAGCAGTCCCACAAGTGGACATTGGACACACACAATACGATCGCCCAGAGGGCTACTGCTAGTGCCCCAACTCGGATTCCTGCCTAGTACCTGGTGGCCGCCTCTTGCGGCAAGTTCAAGTTCAAAGAGAGAGGAGAGAGCCACAGCCAGAGCTTCTCTACCGGTAAGCATACTCTCAAATTGACAGCGCCCACAACTTTACATGAGGGGGCCGTGTCCTCTCTCAGTGTCTTTTTCTCTCTCTTCCTCTTTGCATGGCGCTCTCTCGCGTGCGTGCGTGTGTGGCGTCTCTCTCTCTCTCTTACTTTTTGCGTGCATTGCACCTTTTTGGGCCGTATTCCTTTTTGTGTCGTCTTTCGCTTTCAATGCATTTTGACAGTGGGAATGGCTAATCGTTCTGGCATTTTGCATTCTCAGCGACTGCCACCTCTGCCACTACTACACCCTGCGCACATTCCTTCCATCGTTGTCATATCCTACTCTCCCTCTGCCCCCCTGCTCTGTACCAGCCACTCTCTGACATGGATTCGCATTCGCCCGCACCTGATGATAAAACACCAACAATGATTTTATCGGGCTATTACGACTGAAGCGATACCCCCTTTATATTACTTTCTTCGTACCAATTATCCGCTTGAAACTATTTTTGGTGTAACGCTAGTATAATAAACATTTAAAATAAAGCTTTACTTCTAGTTCTCATACCAATCTCGGGGAGCACCCTGCTCAAACAGTTGTGGCATCCAATGTGAACGAACAAATACAGAACAAATACCCTTGAAATTCCACAAGTACTGGGTATTCCCAAAACATTGTTGATGATTTGTACGGATTGCTGCTAATCAGCTACAGCCATCTCTCTCTCGCATTTACTCTCTTTGTTGTTTTTGGGAGTGTACACTCTACTACTGGGCGCTTGGTTTTTTAGCTCTTCTTATCTCCCCTTTTTGCCGAAAAATCGAAATTGTAACCACATGAGAAACCATCGCAAAGCGTTTTGCGTTGCGGAAGAGAAGAGTCCACATTATGCGAGATATTCCTCTATTCTGAAATGCAACACCCGATGACTGCCCCGACTGATAAGTCCGAGCAGGGTATGTGCATACAATACATGCTTATATGTATGTGCTTACCGCCATTACTTGTGTATGATATAGAATTTCTCATGCAATTTGCTGTTGTCATAGTACTTCTTATTATCTCCATGGGTCTTATCAATGGGTTGCCTTCGTTCCGGCTGGTCAGTGTTCCTCTGCAGGTAGCAGCGGTGTATTCTGGCTCTGTGTTTTAGTTCTGATAGCGATCGTGGCTGGCACACATTAGCTGCTGATTTCTATACATTTGTTTAAAGGTAGAAATCCATTTAGATACATATTTACATACATATATGCAATCTCTGTTGGTTGTTTCTTTGTTTCTGGGATCGTTGACTTTTGATATTTCAAGAGAAATGATTTCTGCAAACTCTGCTAAAAGTTTGTGCAAATTATTTTACTTACGGTTGAATTTATTATGTACATATTTATGTACATAAAATACATACATACATATGTACAATAAATAAATAAATATAAAAAATAAAATATATAAAATATATTATTCTTAAGATCATAATTTTCAAAATAAACTATAAATCACAGCAACAAAATTTTACATGTTTAGAAATTCGACAATCTTTAGGTCCATTTTTAAGTGAACTTCTTCTTGTGATTATTGATGGGTCTTATGGATATGGAAGCTCTTTAATGATTGCGTATAATATTTGCTGATATTTGGCAGCCCTTAAGCCATGATCTCAGTCGAATTCCATGATGGATATTTAGCCATCGCCCACACATCAATTCGCATATTCGATTGCCTGCATTCGTTGCTCAATTTGTTTTTGGCGTTGAATTTTGCTCTGTGGACCGCTCTATGGTATGGTCCAATGATGGATCCATAATGTGGGGGCGCAACAGCAGCAGCAGCCGAACATTAAGTTTTGTTTTGGGGCTCTCTGTGTTTACGCTAACGTTTACTTCTGTCGACCAAAGCAACTGTTCCAATAGAAAGCCAGTTAACAAAAGCCACGCTCCGGTTCGAGGCCAGGGCCTGGGAAGACGATCAACGATCAACGATCCAGCGATCGATCGATCCATCGATCGGGTCTGGTCTGGTCTGGTCGTCAGCGTCTAAATATAGATTTCGACCATATTTGTTCGGCAAATATTGGCAATGAGTGTGTGCGGCAGCCCGAACCTGCCTCAATTCCGTCTCAGTGTCTGTATCTGTATCTATGTCTCTGTATCTGCGTTTGCTGCTGCACGTGTTGTTGCTGCTTGTGGCACCCCACGCGACATTCAACGTGGGACATGCGACAATATTCCATCTCTTTTTTATGTGAGAGGCGGAAGAAAAAAGTTCTTCGTTAGTTTTAGTTTAATATTTATGGCTTATATATTATATATAACTGAAGATAAAGCCGGGATCTGTCATACCAGCAAAGGTTTTCGAGCAACCATTAGAGGGAAACAAATGTTGCTGTTCCAATTTTTGTTTTCCATTTTTCGCGCCTGCTTGACGAAACTTTATCTGTGGCATAGCTCCCTTAATAACTTGTAATCTATTTGTCAATATTGTTCCTGTTGGCTGCTCTTTAAACATTGTGCGTACAGTATCTGAATCTCTATTTGTATCTGTATCTGTATGTGGTGAGAAGTATCTATATCTATATTTGCTGGCCTTCTCCCAGCTCCCTGTACCCTGTTCAACGCCTCTTCCTGGTTGTGTGTCTGCTGCTGCTGTTGCTGCTGCTGCTGCTGCTGCTGCTGCATCCACATTTCAGACATTCAGACAATGGCCGCGTATTCATAAACAAGGCATCTGTCTATCCGTCCATTCGCTACGCCTGTCCATCCAGCCGTGTGTGCCTTCTACCCGTGCTCCTGTGGCTGCCACAACAAATTTCTTTTTTTTTTCAGCAAGTTGGTGCCACTTCTTGCCATGGTTTGTGTGTGTGTGTGTGCGCCGCTGCCGTTGCCATGCGATCGCTTGCTGCAAACAAAAAAAAGAAATTCATTTTGGTCTTCATATTTTTTTTTTTTCTTATTTCTGTTTGTCTATCTTTTGCTGTCCTTCTCAGTTTCTGTGTCTTTCTCTGTCTTTTCAACTAATTGTATTGCATTTTTTTGTTAACTTTTCTTGACAGTAGATATTCTGAGGTTTTGTTGGGTTTCTTATCCTTCTCGAAAGTAAAAGTCTGAGTAGAGATATGAATACAGTAGCCCCCTTAAAAATTGCCCCAAGCGAATGTATGCATACACTTCGAATGGTAATTAAAATATATATACGAAGTATCTGTATCTGCAAGTATCTGATGCCCAAAAAGCTGAAAAAAAAATGTCCAAGTGATATTCTGGAACAGAATAAACTTATAATACACATTTATTTATTTTTTTAAATACATAAAATGCTTTATGCGTTTGGTATAAAACTGGAAATATTTTGTTTCAATTTGTATGCCAGAAATAAATTTTAAATTGTATAGTAAAAATTATTATACAAATTAAAATAAAAAAAATACATTTTCTTAGATATTACAAAGCAGAAATTAATATATTTTATTATTTGTATTATGATCCTTATGATCCCTGCAAAAACAAACCACCAAAATAAACAAAACTCAAAAGACCTGACCTTTGGCAACACGAGCTGCATTGACATCCGATACAGATACACGCGTACAGTGGACACGGTACGGACAGAACGGACTGTAAATGATATTCAACATTAATTGAAGAGGCCTTCTGTGACGCAAGTGACGCCCCAAATGCATTTGTTGCAGCAGCACATAGATTGACGGACACTCAAGTGGCTCTCAATTCGATTCGATGGAAGGCAATCTCCTTGATTGAGGAGGCGTCTTATCAGCCAAGGAAAGGGCAGTGCGAGTATCATATCAATTGATTTATGGTGTTGATGGAGAGAGCGGCAATCAATTGAGTAGCTGTCCAGAATGCGAATCACCTTCAGCCTCAATTCCCCAATTGATTGCCGGACGACGACAACGATCATCACATGTACATACACATACACATACACGAGAGTATCATCATTCAGATGTGGATGCCGAATAGCTGCCGCCTGTGTGCGTGCTTATCATTCAATTTACAGACTTTTCTTGTTTCTCGTTTCTTGTTTCTGTGCCACAAGATGCACAGCGAGGCATCGGGCCCCCAGTCAGCGATAAGTCCAAGACAAGATAATGCCCGACCCCGAAATCTCAGGCGAAGCGCTAAAGAAGACTTTAGAGAAAGATGCTGCTTGTATCTGTATCAGTAGTATCTGTGGGGCAGCTGCTGCTGCTCCTCAACACTAAAACTCATTTCAATTTCACGCTGATATTTAACCTTAGCATAAATTCAATAAATAAACCAGAGACAAAGCTCAGACAAAACATTCATTAGACCCGAAATTGATACAAGCCGCTCGGCTGGGATCGCCCTCGAAATATTGATATTGATTATTGATATTTCCATGCCACAAATACGAGTATTTCTCTGTTTCTCTGTTTGTCTGTTGTGTTGTGTTTCGATGTCTCTTGTGTGTGTAAACACGCAAACAATTTATGGCCTGATGAAGTAGAGAAGTCACAGTGACTAAATTCAAAGATTTTAAAGCTAAGAATACGTTCAGTCAAAATAAATGGAATGAATCTTTAGGGTTTCAGATCTTTGATGCAATATAAATATCCTTCTAATTGCAACGGAAATTCCGCTTTCTCCGCTCGATGAAAAGATTTATCTATCCAGAGCCCTGGAAAAGTATACAGGAATTTAAATCAATCGCTTTAAAATTCCTAAATTCACTACAAAAGCTAAAAATATTTTTTGCTTTAATTTGAAATTATATTAATAGGTACATATGTATATGTATTTTTCTATTAAGAGAATTCTTTGATACAGATACAGATTTAAAATGGAAATGTAATCGGAAAATTAATTAGAATTATTTTTCTGTCGAACCAAACCACCCGCGACTTTAAGATCCCAGCTATTCCCGGTTTCGATTTATGTACCTATGTATCTGATGACTTTCCCTCTCAGGTTACAGGAGCTAAAATACGATACGGGACCCTTGGCTGTGAAGCATACGGAATATATTGAAAGGGGGCCGTGGCGACCCTTCAGCTGGACCCTAATTTGCTGTGTAGCTTCTGCTGTGTTCTTTGATTTTTATTTATCGAATCTTGGTGTTGAGGCAACGCACTGCTGTCGCACAGCGCCAACTAGTGATTCATCATTTTGCAGATGGCTTATCACCTCGCAAAAAAAACTGCAAAAAATTATCAATCCGATTGTACAAACGGCTTAGCCACATCATTTCCTGTTTGGTTTATGAAAATCGACTCGTTGACAAAAGGCAGGAAAGGAGGCGCCAAACAAAATATAATTGCGGAGTAAGACCAAAGTGCCTGCCCCCAAAAAAAAAAGCTGCTGCGGTGAAAGCGGGGACTGCAGCGGGAAGATGGGCAACGAAACTCCAAACACGGATTGTACTTTGCTACGACAATTAGAGCTCTCCACACATCACCCCAATCAACGGATTTTGTTGACCAGCCAAATTATCGAATTGCAGACACATGTTCCCCAGCTACAGCTAAAAAGCGCTACAAAAAAAGCCTATCCCATATATCCCATGTATACTCATTCTCGTATGCCACAATAGACTCAACGATACATATCTATGTATGTATGTACTGCTCGAAGTTCTCGTAATCGCGTAGAATCCCATTTAAAGCCATCTTCCCCATTTGATCAACAATTTATTCAAGCTAAATAAATAAATAAATACGAAACTTCAGCTCGAACCCAAACGAAACGATCATTTTGTATGCATTTAAAGCTTTTGTAATGAGCTGCTGCGTGCGACTGGCGCGACTGCGTGACATTTTTTTTCACGCTTCTCGTTTGATGGCCACCGATTTTTCGGTAGATTTTTTTTTTTTTTTTTTTTTTTGGTGCGGGAAATGTTGTCGCGATTCGAATGCATTTCAACCTTAAAGCTGCAGATACATACATATCTCGTATCTGGTATCTGGTATCTGGTATCTGAACTGTTCACAATTTCATTTGCAATTCAACTTCCGTCAACCATCCAACCGTCAGCCGTAGCACTGTGTGGAATTTCATGGCAAGAAACAAGAAAGGAGGAAGGCTTTCGATATCAGTGACCGAAACAATTGATACCCTTTGATTAAATTATTGAATTTATGTGCGGGGTATGAGAATTTCAGAGAGTTTTTCTCTGCGTGCAGGGAAAAGTACTGTAGAAATTGTAAAATTTAAGTATTTGTCAGGACTGTTGACTGCGAATCAAGAATATCCCAAAGCGTAAAGCTAATTTCAGATCTAATCAAAATTATCATACCCTTTTGCAGAAGGGAAAAACTGAGACGGCACATAACGAGCTTCGAAATTGTATCTGAAAGATACGACAGAAACGTATGAAAACTGAAATGAAATGCTTATGTAAATGCAGAAATTGAAATGAAAATGTAATTAATGAGCATAAAATGCGGAAAAATTTGTGGAAATATAATATACGTGAAACGAGTTTTTCCATTTGTCAACATCTACATCATCATCGTGTGCGTAGTGATGGTGGGGACTGAGGGGCCTGAGGGGCCTGGGATATTGTCAAATGAAGTTTGGGGGCCCCACAAAAATGTTTGGACAGAGCCATGCTCTGCATGGGTTTTTAATTAAAAGAAACTTATGAATGTACGGACGAGTGTATCTGCAAGATACATTCAACATTCACTTTTTTCGGTTTCTTTTTTTGGTTTTGCCTGCTGTATGCATGTCGGTTTCTCTTCCATTTTCACCATTTTATTATTCCATTTTGTCTGCATGGAAAACTTTTGCTGACTTGACTGCCCTACCGCCCCATCTAACGCTTATTCGATTCTTTCGATTGATTTAGACGCAAATAGATCCTCATAAATGGAATACATATCGCTCCATCGCCTCTATGAAATTTAATTAATATTTGATTGAAATTTACAGCACAAATTTGCCTATAATTATGCCTAAAATTATCAAATTTTATATTGAAGTTTGAACGGCTTAATGCGCTCGAATTTTCTCACTTGACGGCATCGTCTTCTTCCGTTTTATCGTCATCGTCACTGTCATATTCAATTTTAAACCAAATCATAATTATTATTATTTATGGCTCATAATAGAATTACATAAAATTTAATTTTTAAGAGGTACCAGATATTTTCATCTTATTCCTAAGATACGTTCTGCTCGAAATTTTGTTTAGATTTTTCATATCTTTTATTTTACTTTTGAATTGCTCTGATTCATGGGCTAGATTTTCATAGCCTACGATCCCTCGGTTGTGTCGGAGAAACCCAAATCCATTCTTCAAGCTTCAATGATGAAGTCACCCTTGATTGTTTCCAGCGTTAACCATCATTCAACCTCAATCGTGATCTCATTATTGACATAATTTCTATACATATTTAATCTACACTTCATCCTACATTTCAAATACCTTCCCCATATTTTTAAACGCCTTTTGCCGCCCACTTTTGTTTGTCATTTGCATCGCCAAAAACCTATAACTCTTTCACAATTTGTCTCAACCCACAGAGCTCGAGAGCACGTACCACGTACAAGCACAATCCTCATCCTCGGATCTGGCGGGCCGTCCGGTCAGAACCACCACCTGTCGCATAAGCAAATCGTGAACGTTAATTAAATGTCAACAGATCCAGCGACAAAGGAGCCAGGCGGTGAGGAGCCAGCGCAGAAGGGGTCGATGGAGAACGGGGGTCCGAGAAGCCAAATGAATTGAAATTTAAATGGAAATTGAGAATACGTCGGCGAAGAGAATCGCAACAACATTGCGAAATTGTGGCCAAAATCTTTGCATGATTGTCAAATAAATCAAAATATTCAAGAAAGAGAAGCAGCGAGAGGAGAACTAAAAAAAAAAGAAGAAGCGAGAGAAGAAGAATCCCAACGAGTAGTATAAAGGAAAGAGTGAACAGCGAGAGAAGTAGCAAAGGACGAAAAAAAGAATCCCTTCAAAGAGAAGACAACCTGCGAGAGACAAAAAAAGAGGAACAGCGAGCGGAGAATCAACCAGAACCAGCCCAAGAGAGAGAGAGATAAACTACAAGAAGTTCTAGAAGCTGCAGGAAAATGGTTAACGCAGTGATGGATGCCATTGCGGTAAGTAAAATGATAAATAGAGAATTAAGAACGCCATAAAAATGGAAATATAAAGAGAGGCCGGCGATCGCGTCGCTTGTTAAATTTAATTTAAAATACGTTTCATACAATATAATTTTTGTATGTATCATTTTCTGCGATTTGTTTTATGAGATCTAAATTGAAATTGTCTGGAAGTGCCCTCTCTCTGTCTCTCTTCTTCCCCTTTCTTATTTGCTAATAGTCCCCACTTCCTCTCTAGCTCTCTTTCAATTCCTTTCTCCCCTTCCTCTCTAGCTATCTTTCAATTCCTTTCTCCCCTTCCCCTCTCTTTCTCTCTGTCTTAACCCATTCCTTACCGTATAATCCACACTCGGATATATTGCCAATTGAAGTTTTGTTTGCACTTCGAACACAGAAACTCTGCGGTTGAGTTTCCATTTTATTTCCAATTTTTTTACCCACCGGTTTAGGGATACCCTATGGAGAGAAGGCTACACTAATTCCTATGCAATATCGCAGCCACACTTGCAGAATAAATTCTAAAAAATAAGTCCCCAAATACCTTTAAAGATTTATCCACTCCAACCAAGGGACTAGTCACGTTACCCATGGAACTCCCCTATGTTTTGGGACATTTGTGTCTAGAATCTTACGAATCAAACTTTGGCAGCTGTGGAAGTTTTTTCCAACTTTTACACAAATTCCCCTGCTATTAAGGGCATTCGATGCTTCGGCCATTGATGTTGGTTTTTATTTCTTGCCTTGTTTTGTTTGGTTTTTTTTTTTTGATTTGGTTTTTGCTTGCTTTGCCCACATTTTCAATTTGAATCTGTTTGCTGTGGCAATTGCTCAATTGGCTGGCGGCCTGTCTATGGCTCTGTCTCCCCCTTGTCTGACCGTTTGTCTGTCCCACCAGCTGTGTCTCTGTTTGCATTGAAGTGTGGCCTGGCTGTGGCATTATTACATGCTAATCCATATGTTTAAGTTGGTTTTTTTTTTCGTTTCTCGATTTCTGTCTCGTTTTGGCAAAAATACAAATTCCATTGAGGCGTATACGTGATTCGGATTCTATTTGGAGATGAGGAGATGGATACTCTTAAAAAGTATCTTTGATGTACATATTTATTTATTTATTTATGTGCTTGCTTATGTGCTTGCTTTAAGGTTGTTCAGCAGATTAACCCCTTAGGATAACATCCAGTTACAGCGCACTGTAAGAACGCTCCGACAGCGCTCTCTAAGCTTCAATTAATTATGCTTCATCCAGCCTCCCACAAAAACGATGCATAGTAATACGTTTTTTTTTTTTGGTAAACTTTTAAACAACTGGAAAACAGCAAATCAACTTCTTTTCTATCGTAAAGTGTGATCTTCAAATGGAAACGATTTCAGTCGCAAAATCACTACACAATTCCCATATGCTTTGAATGCCTTAATACTAGAAACAAAACAAAAACAAAAACGCAATATATGCCCCCTTGCCACACAGTTTCCACAGTCTTTCCAGATTCCCTTTTTTTTTTATTTTCCACTTCACTTTTCGTCCAGCATTTGCATCCACAGTTTGCCAATTTGCGGGCCAAACGAAAACGAAGAAAACAAAAACCAAAACTCTAGAAATATTTATAAATACACAAAAATAATGCACAAAACACACACACAGAAAGAAAAGGAACTGAAAACGAAGTGGATATCAAATTAGCACAGAGCGTGGGAGCCGGTTTGCTGTGTTTTCTGTGTGTTTGCTGTGCTTTGGCTGATTTTTGGCACTTGGTTTTGGGGACATGGGTTAACCATGTTTCATATGAGAGGCAGCCAGTCTAAGAGGAGGCAAGAAACAAACCCGTTATTATTGCATTAGCCAAAGACAGTGGCGCGCGTAATTATTAGAGATCGCCACAGACAGCCACAGCCAAGGCCTGCCACTGCCACCGCCGGAAGTTAAGACCAGTTGTGGCAGGTACACCGGTAGTACCCCACCCAACACCCAAACTTCAGTTCAATGCATGCCCCACCAGCATCGCCGCCAGCCGAATGTTTGTGTAACGGAAATTCCTCCGCAAAGAGACACGACACGATACGACACAACACCGAAGGCTAAGTCCAAGTGTTGGCCTCTCTCTGGGCCATGATTTTGCACAAAAAACAAATCAAAATCAAAATCAATTGATTCCCATGAGCAGTAGTCGCCACTTGAGACATCCGTTCATTAACCTAGAATCGAGTTGGAGATTTGCATGCCGCTGCAGAAAAAGAGAGAGAGAAGCCTCCTTGATTGGTCTGCTTTATCAATCAAATCGCTGTGCATTTTCATTGCATTGGCAAGTTTTAGACTTGGTTCTTGGCTCTGCGTTGCAGTTTGGTCACTAAATAGAAGTAATGATGGAAATGGCTAGGAACACAAATGGGAGTGTGAGGATACCTAAACGATTTGTAGGCATTTAATGGGAAGCCAGAAAAGTAGCAGCGATAGACGAAGATATGAAGAAAAACCAGCGAGAGTCGATGAGAAAAAAATAAGAAAATCAGCGATAGAAGGAAAGATTAGGCAACAGAGAAAGAAAACAAACGGGAAGGAACGTGTGAGTCGCTTCTGAGGACGCGAATCTACTTATAATTTTTAAATTAAATTCTTGTAATTTGTAATGAGATTATCTTTTGCTCAGTTGTTGCACTTTTCCTATGACTTCCATGTTTATTGTGATGTTTATAGATTTATTACCATCTAGTTGTCAAAAGTATATCGAATTGAGCTTAAGAAACTGTTTTTTTTAACCATATTTGGATACATTTAGTCAAGATGAAGCAATGCTACGTTTTAGCTTGTAATTGACTTATTGATTAATACTCGCTCTTGGTCTTTCTTTTGCATCCGTTTCTGTGTAAAATCGTATTGAAATCTTATTTATTTTATATTTCAGCTGCTCAGCTCTTTGGCCAGCGATCTGGATGTAATGCTGAACGATCTTCGCTCAGCGCCGAGTCATGCATCAGCGAATCAGCAGCAGCTGCATCAGCAACCACAGCAACAGCAGCAGCAGCTACAATCGAGGCAACTGCTGCAACCACTGCATCATTGGCAAAGCATTAACAATAATAATGTGCCACACCCACTGAAGGCAATCCGATCCACAACAATATCCACACAAAATTGCCTTCAGAATAATCGTCGCCGTGTGGCACCCAAACCCTTGCCCCGGCCACCGCGACGCTCACGTCCAGCCAACGCCAATGCGGCCAGGGAGGCTGTGGCTGTGGATGATGCCGCGGAGGATACGGATGCCAGCGATTTGGCCAATATGACATCACCGTTGAGCGCCAGTGCGGCGGCCACACGGATAATGGGCCTCTCGCCGGAGGTGAAGAAGGTGCAACGGCTGCCGCTCTGGTGTCATCCGCATACTCAAACGCCTACATTGGTGCAGCTGCGTCCCCAGCGTCGTCCCAGTCAGCGCCATCATCATCATCATGGGTAAGTCATCATCGTTCCATCCCATCCCATCCCATCCCATTGTTCTTCATAAGAAAGGAAGAGCAAGCAAATCTCTCGCGTAACCTCTACAGGTGGCAATGGTCTGTGAACAGTTTATGCTCCGCCGAGCGCTTCATGGGAATGGGCGGGTTGGCACTGGCACTGGCAGTGGCAGTGGCAGTTGCACGCATGGTTGACAGCCAAAAGCTGTCTAAAGTCATGGCCAAAAGATGAACTGTTGAGAGCAATGCCAGTGGGCAACGTGGTCTTCAGTTTTCTTGGAATTCTAGCAGCAAAAATGCCTATCTGATCAGCGAAAATAAATGCAGGCATTAAGCTAAACACCCCAAAAGATTGTAGAGTTTTGCGTTAAGAAAGGAAGATTAACAACCAAGCAATGCACTCAAAAGTGTTTTACAGATCGGGGTCACCAGCTTCTTGACTTTCAGGCAGTCAGCATCAGTGAAAGACGATGGGCCAACGCTCTAACATTAAACCATACAGAATTGAATGCTAAAAATCTCGAAGATAACATTTGACAAGGGTCGTCTGTCGTCCGTCTGTCTCTAGCCCAAAAGTGCTCGATCGGGGCATGCAAATTTCAAGCTTAACCTTTTCATTAGCCATGGACCCACACCCAGAATCAGATTCAGAAACAGAAACAGAACCAGAACCAGAGGGAGGCACTCCCAGCCGACACTACAGCCAGTTTAGCTGGCAGTTAAGTTATGGCAAACCCAACCAAAAAGCCAACGTTGACAACCAGCCAAACCGAACCGAACCGAACCCAAGTGGTGGGCGGTAAGGGGTCGGGTGTGGTAAAATGCGTAACATGGCTAGGATATGTTTAAGTAAATGCTGCTGCGTATGTATTTAGATATTTTTGTAATTCCATATAAGCGCAATATGTTTAGCATATAAATTATGAGGCCCGACACCAACACCAGCCCAAACAGCGACTCTATCGCTGTATCTCGACCCCTCGATTGTGGGTCGTGTGCGTGGGGTTGTGGGCTGGGCTGGGCTGGGGTGGGGTGGGGTGTAGGCGTCAAGACATTCTAGAATCTAGATATTGGCCAAAGGAGAAAAACTAAAATGAACAGACCAACCCCACCCCCATGCCACTCTGGCCAAAAATGAAGTGTTATATTTTATGTGGCAATCCGGAATGCCAGAAACAACAGCCGACAAATGTCCGGAGATGACAGAAACCAAAGACAAATACAATGCTCCATAAACTTGGGTAAATATGAATATGTCTGCCAAAAATGGGGGGGATAAATATACCCGGCCTTCGTAGACTGTGAGAGGGTTGAAGGGTTTCTTTTCTTTGCTGACAGCCGGAACCATCCTCTCACACCATTCTCCTGCCCCCCTGCCACCCGGAATGGGACTCTGAATGGTTACTGCTTACTGGTTACTGCTTACTGGTACAAAGGGTTGTGTGTGACTTTTGTGTGTGTGTTTAGCTATTTATTAAATTTGTTTACCACCCAAAAACACACACACACAAGTAACGAATGTCAAATGGAATGGGAATTGGGTTGTGGGTGGGGGGGAAATGTTTAAGGATGAGGTTACAAGGAGCCACGAACATGAGCTGCGTAACTAATTTGCTTAAAGTGCACGATGCCTCATCAACATCAGTTACAATGACTACAGCAGCACAGTGGTATGGAAATACTCGTACATAATATTTTTCATACAGAGCAAACAAAAAATTTAAAAAAAAAAATCAAATAAAAATAACAGACAGCTATGCTATTTTTTTGAGGCGCTATACTGAATTAGGAATAAACTTTTAATACCAAATATTTTGAAATTGTTTTTTTTTTATTTTTTTATAAAAATGTAAAATATAAATTAAATTCAAACATCTCTTCAGCGGAGAAGTTTAAAGCAAAGACAATATAATAATTACATAATGTATTATATATATTTTAATTATTATATTGTATATTATAATAATTTATATTGTATATTATATATTATTATATTGTATTTAGTTAAAGTATGTATGGGTTAAAAGGACATACCATACATACATACGCATGCCAAATATTTGCTGAGAGCTTACAATTTCCAACCAGTTTTAGCTTAAATTTAATGAGATTTTGAGACTTTAAATTTGTGGATCATATTAAATATAAGAAATTAATTTTTTTTTTTTAATAAAATATAGGGATTCATTATAGAGCGTAATTTGGTTGGAGTTGCGTTTCTTAATTAACAAAAATGTTTGGAATTATTATTTCCAATCAAATAAATATCAAAGAATATATAATAATAAAGAATAAAGGTAGAAATATATCAGCAGAGTGTTTTCGTTTTAGTCTCCGAATTTTGCATTCGATTTTCACAAAAAAATTTCGTAGCACTGTGGCTACGGCTGGTACCACAAAAAGTTTTGTCGTGCTCGCCAAGTGTTTTTGTGGCGGCGGGCCCCCATGCTTGCCCTCTCGACTCTCGAAAATTGATGATGTCTAGGACCCAGGCCATATCTGCCACCAACCATCTTCCAGGCCCATCATCCGCTATCACCACCATCATCATCATCACCATCATGGGCTTGATGATTGTCAAAAAGTTTATGCAATTTGAGAGCGTTTTAAGTTTTTGACGTAGTCAACGATGCGAAGCCAAAAAGGAGGAGACTAAATGGATGGCTCTGGCTCTCGTTCTCGTCCTGGGGTTTGCGGCCAAATGCTGCGACAGGTGTTTGCTTTATTAACTGTAGACATACACCTCCTCCCTCGCACCATACGAAACGAAGAAGCACTTCTAGTGCGGCTGACATGTAAACAGATTAACATAATTAATTTATTTGGCTACTGCTACTGCAAGAGGCTCCTGCTAAATGTCTAGAAATTTGTGTGCTCCTCAATGCAGTAGGGTGGGCTCGTATATTCCTTCGTTAGGGGAGAAAGGAATGTAAAAACCAATCGGAATTTCTATCTCTAGCCTATGCCACATTTGCAGGGTATTTATTGTAGGGAAAACCTTTTGCAGAAACGTATACCATGGATTGAGATTGAGATTGCGATCATGAATGAATGGTGCCTCATTAATATGTTTGTGTGGGCTTTGTCATCTCTTTCTCTCGATTGTGAGATGATGGAATGATTGATCATATTTTTCTTTTTTTTTCGATAAATTCTGCAGCTTTTGCTCTTCACCGACAAACCCCCATTGATGGACAGAGCAACGAAAGAGATCTCTTTTGTGTGCGTATCAATCATATTTAGCATACAACTGTCTGTGTGTCTGTCTATCTGTCTGTCAGAGGCAGTGAGTGAGCGAATGTTGTGTGCCTAAAGGCCATGAAATGAAATGAATTCGCGGCAAGCAAACAGCATCACACACAGATCAGTCCCATTTCAATGCCAACGAGTTGTGCCTCTGTACAGTACGGACGTCAATTGATATCTCAAATTTCGCCATTATGCAACGTACTCTATTCCATCTACTGTCCAGTGTCCAGTGTCCACTTGCGACCCACTCATTAGCCAAGTTCTCACTTATTCATCGCACATTTGCCACAGACTCTTGGGGTTGGGGGAGGGGCTCACCGGCGAGGCTCTAAATTTCCCCAGACAATACAATGACCAAAGACATAAAAAAAAGAAACCCAGAAAAGAACCCCAGAGAAAGTCGAAAAGAGAAAGCACTAAAGAAAAGTGTAAAACATTAAGGGAACAAAACAGGGAACATACACAAAAAAAAAAACAGCAAAAGAACTATTTTTTTTTTTTGAGCCACGAAGCTTTAGATACCCTTTAGGGAGCAATCGTTGCCATGGGTAATAGGAGTACTACATATGATGTGCCATGGCCTACAGCGAGCGGGCAGCTGTTAGGATCTGTAGAATTTTCTATGCTAATTCTTCAGGTAAACTTTTTTTTTTTTTTTTGCTTGTTTTTTGTGTATGTAAATTGCTGGAGAGTTTCAAGGGGATCCAATGGAATGAACAGCGGATCTGTATTCCTGGGAAAACATTTTCAGGGAGGATCCATCTCTGCAATACCCTCTGGAAGGGCATTAAAAGTCAAAAGAAAAAGAAATATGCAAATTGAATGGACAAGAAGAGCAGAGCGAGGGGCACAGTGGAGCTGGCGATGGAGATGAAGATGGAGGAAGCAACTTTTCAGTGACGTAAATTGCATATTAAATTTTACATTTTTCATATTTATGCAGCCGCCAAGGCAGTCATAAAGTGAAAGTGACTCGGCTGTTGGGGGGGGGCGAGCCGTTGTGTCCACGAGGACCTCGAGTAGCACGAGTGTAAGGACAAACAACATTTCAATTTAGGAAAATATTCATTATGCTCAAGTGGAACACACAGAGAGAAGGAGAGAGAGTAGAGAGAGAGAGCAGGAGTCGCGCTAAACGGAAGCGGAAACGTGCCACAGCAGGCAAAAGGTGACCCCGCACCGTTCCCCCCGCACTGTTACCAGAGAGCCACTCATTTGGCCATTGTCAGGCGGTGTCTTCTTCATTGTCGCTGTTGCTGTCGGCGTCGCCTGCCTTGTGCCTTGTGCATTGTCAAAACTTTCCATAAAGTTATGAAAAGTCATTCAAGTGCAGAGGGATGGACTGTCTACCACCCCGCAGCAGCAGTATTGTGGCCCCCTCCAGAGCCGGCAGCCCCAACGACTTGGCGACTTTGGAGCACTTTGTGCTCATTTTACCCCTCAACCCAAAAAATACTAGAAGACGGTCGGTCGGTGGGTCGCTCCCACAAGGGGTTTGAGTAAACTCCAAGCTAAACAATAAAGCCGTCAAAAACGTGCAGTGACGACAAGGATAGTGTTGTTGGGTGTTCTTTTTTTTTTTTTTTTTTTTGTACCTGGTACACTGGGGCTCCTTCTGCCTGTACCTACTCCTGTGCGCCTTCGCCTTCGCTGTCACCTCCATCAACATTGTCATCTAAGCTGCAATGACAAGTTGTTTCAAGTGCCTTCCCTCCCCCCCCACCAAGTGTGCCCATTGAACGGGTATCCAGGGCATTCTCAATCGATTTGACACTCATTGAAAAAATGCATTGGCTCTCCTCTCAGGCTTTAGTTCTATGAATATGCCCATCTAAGGCAAACATTTTTCACTTGCCAGCCTTCACTTTAAGCATAAATTCTAGTTATTGCTACTTTTACTAGACAATAACTCTTTTGGTTACGAAAACGCATCCCATCCAAATATCATTAAAAATTAATGAGTTTTTAAAAAAATGTATAAAAAAAAAAAATTTTAGTTTTCAATTTAAAAAAAAAAAATGCCAACTGTCAGTCAAAATATCTTTGTAGCAACCGCCTATATTTCACGTTACTACAAGTACCTAAGGTACCTAAAAACTGAAATTTTAATGTTTACATTAATATTTAAAAATTGTATACCAATATATTTCCTAGATTTCATATTTAAATTAAATATATTTTAAATCTAAATTAACAAATTAAGCTTTAAATTTAATATATGTATAATATTTATTTTAAAAGTGTTTTATAGGTTAAAAAAACCTTTTAAATACATTTATGTTTATATATATAAAATTATTTATTATTATTTATTTTTTTTTATTTATTTTTTATTTAATTTATTTATGACTATTTTTGTTGCATCCAAAAACCGAATATTTAATTTAAATATTGGTTTGTTTCTGTTTATTTTTTCATTATTATGAGTCGAAAGAAACCATGGCTTAAGAAATCAAAAGCCAACCGACCGAAGTGCAGTGCTGCATGACGTGCTTAAAAATGGTTATTATTAATTTAATTAATTTAATTCTTCATTCTAAGATTACTGAAAGCGCTTTTACTTTTCGCAGTAACCCCGAGCGGCCAAAAGGGGGAGCCGATGGCTGCTGTGTTTTTTTTCCGGAGGCAAATCAAAAAGCACATCCAAGCTTCGTCTTGAGAGAAGTTTTGTCTGTTGCTTCTGCACTTAGTCTCCACATCTTACTTCCTTTCTCTCCCCCCTATCTCTTTCTCTATTTCTCTATCTCTCAGACTTCTGCCACATTTTCGCTGCTTGTGTCTGCTTGGTTTTTGAAGCTTAAGTGGAGCTTTCGCCATTACGTTCGACTCCTTGGCAGCTGCGTTTCCTTTAAGCTCATTAACTTGCCGTGCAGCACCGTCATGTTGCATGCTGCCCGCCTGTCCGCCTGCCCCGTGCCAACACCTGCCGCACCGTCCGGCCGGATGGCACGAGACTTTAATGTCATTGCCAGGACGGACACACACAGCAGTCTGGCATCCGTGGCACTCCACAACCCCCCTCCGAACCACGCCCCCGCCCCCTGTACACGCCATCGTTCGGTGCGTTCATGCGTGCCACGCTCCTCGCCCGTGCGCCCGTCCGTTCCATGGCCTGCAGTAAATAATTGTTGGCCAAAAGGTTGTTGAAACATTTAATAAAACCAATATAAATCATAACAAACACTTAGCCTGACAACAACCACAACCAACAGACGGAGGAGGCGGCAGACGGCAGACGGCAGTCGCCAGCCAGAGTCGAGGACATGTGGCATGGGGGCAACGGCAATGGCAACAAAGCGGAACTAAAATTCCAAAACGTTGCCCATTTCTGGCCGCAAAAACTTCAACCAATGCGAACAGGAAAATTCCGCACCGACCTACGTACGCCAGGAGGGACTTCTCTGACAAGCGTATGAGGCAAGAGGCTGGCAAATGGGGCATGGAATGGGGCACCAGGGACAGAGAGCATAGCATCTCTCTGCATTGCTGCGCGTGAACGCACCTTTAGCCGAGACTCTCGCTCTCACTCTCACTCTGTGTGTGTGCTTGTGTGTGTGTTTGTGTGTGTGTGTCTGCATACCCAGACACCGCACTGTGGTCGAGAGTTCTATGAAAACAGCCACAGAACATTTGAATACAAGGCAAAGAAGATGCAAGCACCGTTCAAGGACTCTCTCTTGATCTCTGGAGCATAAAGAAAAAATGTACGCGTTTAATTTATGGCACTAAAACCAATCCATTAACGAGTATTTGTGTGGATGATCTGCACGATCGCTATAGCCCCCGTAGCTGGACACACTCCATATTCAGTGTTCTCCTTTCTAAGTTTGCTTCTTTCTCTCAACATTTCATCATAAGAATTTTGGAATCTCTCCCAATTGGGCTCTGTATGTGCCATTCGCTTATGCAAAATTTGTACAGCCAAAAAGAATACATAGGCAAACTGTAAAAATAATTTCCCTGCCGAATCCTCTTGATTTCCATTTTAGTAAGTTTGTTAAAATTTAGATTTTGCATTTTCTGGATTTTCTGAAATTAAATTTATTTTTTAAGTCCATTTCTTTTCCCCATTATGATAACCTCTGCCAGGGCACATTGGAGTGTGAATGCTGTGGCAGTGACAACACCGGTGGCACTGTGCCTGTGGGGCAGGCTTTGTCGCCTTTTACATAGTTTCATGTCCGTGTTCGTGTTCGTGTCCGTGTCGGTGTCGTCAGCAGCAGCTTCCCCATGGCGACATCTAGCAGCAGCAGCACCACCACCACCACCATCGCCATCGTCACCAACAAAAATGCGCAAAAAATTAATTGCTCCGCATAAATCAAAAGACTTTGCTACCCGGACAACGTCCCCATACACACACATACAAGCACTGCCCCCCAAGCCCCACTGCATCTGCCACAGCCACAGCCCCGCCAATGCCATGCCCCTCCTTTGTGGCTTCTGCGTGGCACTTGTTACTATTTCTGATTTCCAGCACTAGAAGGCAGCAGATCTTAAGATGCAATTTAAAGCTTCATTGTTTCTGCTTTTGCGTCGAGGCATCAAGGCCACATTTGGTTGAGGTCCGTTCCAATCGCACCATGCCCCTGCCCCTGCCCCACCGCTCGATGGAGGTGAACAACAGCTGTTCTCCCCCCATTCCCCTTAACGGCCGGAAGTTTTTGGCAGCGAGAGGGAAGAGAGGAGAGAGACAGAGCCATAAACAAGATGTTCCCCCCATCCACCCGACATATGCGAATATCTCTCATGGATTCCACCCACCACCCTATTCCGCATCGACATCAACGTCATCTTCATATCATCATCATATCATCATCATCATCATCATTAACGGCAATCGCTTAAAGAGACCCCTGATGAATGTGTTTTTTATGACTGTCGAGAGCGCATTCCACAGCACAATTAACGGATGCGATGCGCACTAAAGCGCTGTTGCCGCACTTCAATTGAAAGCAAATTTAGCAAATTTCATTTGTAATTTAAATTAATTCAATTTAAAATTCAACAAAAAGTCAAACCTAACAGTTGGATCTTCCCATCGACGATTTTGATGGACTGATAGGCTGGGGCCTTCAGTATTCCTGGTGCTTCCCGGTCTGAAGAACTTTGCCAGCGAGGATACGGACTAAATGATGCTCAGTTCAGTGCAGTGCAGATATAGAAGTCCGTCAGTCTGTAAAGAAGTCCGGCCATTGCCATTGCCATTCCAATTGCCAAAAGATAACTCTTTGACATAAGTGCTCATGTGATATACCTCGGGTTTTTGTTCTGATTGAACTGAAGCTTCATGGGAACTAGCGTGGATAGTCCTTATTAAAAATCTTTATTTTGGGCCATGGAAATAAAGGCAGAAACAACACAATAATCATGCAACGCAAAGGAACCCCTTCTACTGATTTATTGTTTCGTTTTTTTTTTATTAGTTTTTATTTATTATTTTTTAATTAATATTTTTTATTTATTATTTTTTAATTAATATTTTGTTTATATTTTTAATTAATAATTTCTCTTGGTATCGGTATCTTTTGGTGTTGCTGTTCGATAAAGGAACAGATGCATTTTTTAGTCAGTGCGGGAAGATATTAGTATATCGGGTCTGCATTACCCTATCTCGCTCAATATTTCTGGCGCTTGCCATTAAAGATGGGCAAAAACATAAGAGAAAGAGATGAACCACGGACAGCTGGGAGGACTGTCTGTTTTGTAGCGTTGTCGATTTATTTTTTGCTCCCCATAAACTATCAGTTTTTATGCGGATCATAATTTTCCAGCAGCAGTTACGCCAAGCACTTGGCCAAGGCCGTTAACAGTTGGCTTCTCTGATTGCTGTATTCGCTTTGTGCTTTATTTGCCCGAGACACTGAATAATAGTCCAAACAAAAGCTCGAGTTGGAGTCAGAGTCGGAGTTGGAGTCTGAGAGCATATCACGCATACGTCAGAGGGTGCGCCGTGTCGCTCATAAAAAAGTAACCATGCATAAAAATACGTACGAAAAAAAGCGACGCCCCAAACCAGAGGCCAGAGAGTGACACGAGGAGTTCATAAATAATGCTCTAGCGATTTATCAGCCAGAGACAGTTGCAGTTCCAGTTGCAGTTGCAGTCATCGTCATCGGAGACCGACTGAGCCGAAACTCTGAAACACCCAAACGCAAACGCAAAGTCGAGAAAGAAAGAAAAACAAAACACCAACTCCCAAAAGCTGCGACTATTCAAATGCAATTTGGCAATAGTTGTAAGGCCTGGTCGAAAAATACAAAAAACGAAACCAGGGGGGGGGACAAATTCCAGACCGAAACTGGTCTGAGTTTTTGTTTAGGTTTCATTGCGTTTCGTTTCGTTTCGTTACGGTCTGTGTCTGGGTCTGGGTCTGACCCGGCCCACGATCTGTCTGTTTGTTTAGCCCCGTTAAGCCTCACACTAATTACACTTGCGCTTTTTACAAATCCACACACACACACACACACACATGGGGCCCATTCACAGCAGCATCCACAGAATTTTTCTAAGTCTGGTCACAACCGAAAAAAAAGAAAGAAAAAAAACAAAGAAACCTGCAACATATTTTCATGTTCATGGCCAAAGTGTCAGGTCGAAGGGGAATGAGAATGAATGACCACAAAACCAGACCAGAATGCTACCTTAAATGAGAGTTAGGACTCCCCTCTCCCCCCCCGTCCATGTACAAAAACATGCAAATGCTTTGCCTGTCTGTGGCACGCAAATCTTGATTTAATTTTCGGCTTTTAAGCTGAACTGAAAAACTCAGACCCACCAAAAATAGCTGCCCACAAAGGATGGATGCAGTAAACTGCAACATTTTAGGGCTTTTCTACTGATAAATTTACTATTCATTTTTAGTTGATCTTGATCATTTTATGACACGCAATAATTTTATTTGCACTTGAATAAGCTTTAACAAGGAATCACTCAACATTTAAGAGGTCTTCCTTGCTATAGGCTGTTCTGTTCTGCTCTGGTTGGAGCTACTGGCTGCTGGCTGAATTTACAAGGGCTCTGCTCTCTGAATATATGGCTGATCCGTGGCTGATATATTTTAATCGCGCGTGAGATCCCTCAAGCGTTTACTGACAGCAGCGTCCAGCTCCTGCAGAGCCGCCAGATCTAGTTCCTGCAGCAAATAAATTATGGCTGATAGATTATTATTATTGTGCACGGGTTGCCCACGACGAAGTATGTTGTAGCCCCCACATGGAGAGCGCATCAACGATTGTGGCGACTCCACATTGCCATACTGCTCGTTGCCGAATTGACAGCTGTGGGGAGAGATATGTAGAGAGTTAATCACCCTTCACCCTTCAACCCGGCTTCGGTCAAAAGCGGAACCCTCACTTTTCGCAATTGCCTGTCTGCCATTGTGGTGATGCCACTGGGGAATTGGTATTCCTCTGTCCTCGTCCCGGATAGCTACGATACGACTGTTGCGGCACCATCTCCAGCCCGCCGTTGCCGTACGAATGAAGGGGCGGCTGTTGTTGGCGCATTTGAAGCTGCAGCTGGAGGTGCTGCAGCTTTAGTTGCTGCAGCTGCTGCTCGAAATCTATGAAGTTTCGGCCAAGGTCCAACGCCTGGCATCTGTAGTCGCGCACAGGCTGCACGGACGCGCTGGGCGCCTTGTCTGCTGGGCCCATTTGACGGTAGTTCTCACGGGAGATGTTTCTGCCAAAGCAAGAGTCAACCGGAGAGCAGCTCCCATTGAGGGAGTGCCTGGGGGGTCTGGTGATAGTTCCTGCTCCTGCTGTCCGGCTGTGAATGGCCTCCTAGGACGCGGTGACACCTGTACCAACTGTTCCACCTGAGGACTCGCGCTGCAGCTCATCTGTTGAGCTGACTGATGATATGCGTCAAAAGGATTCAAGGATTCTTCATTATGTTCGTCATGCATGACAGGAGGGTTGCTGTTCCACAATGCATTTCTGACCTCCTCACCAGTTACTTGAGTGGTATCTATTATTTTCAGCGTTCGCAGAGTGCGCAGCAGTATTCCGCGATACCTACGAAAAGAGATCACTTGTTACAGGCCACCACTCGTTAAGGGAAGACAACTCGTTACAGGAGACCACTCGTTAAGGGAAACCACTCGTTAAGAGAGAAGTCTCGTTAAAGTAGGCCACTCGTTAAGGGATACCACTCATTAAAGGAGGCACCTCGGCGAGGGATACCACTTGCTAAAAGAGACTACTACAAAGATCACTCGCTTCCTGTTATACAGTACTAACCCTGGACCAGCTCTTTTCACGCACGGGTTACCCTCTAAGGTGAAATCTTCGAGATGAAGCAAGTTCCTGATATGCTCCACCTCATTGATGTCCTCAATCTTATTTGATCGCAGATATAGCTTCTTCAGCATAGTGCAGCCAGCAAATACCTTCAATGATGTGATCCCATTAACTGAGAGTGAAGCTATCTCCAATTTGGCCATACGCTGTACTATCGAAACGTCCGTCAGGCCACAGTTGACAAAGCTAATATTCACAACTCTCTCCACATCATGGACCTTGGCCAGGTACAAAACCATTTGTTCCAGTAGCACCGTCATATTTCAACTGTTTTTTCCGCTGAATGCCCCCACAAAATTCCAAACTAATGTTTCTGTTTTCTGAATTGGAACTCAATGTGACGAATAACGAAACTAAAATACTTTTTAACGGCATAGAGAAATGTTTGTAGCTATTAAATATCGTATGCGCCCATGCAGGCGGCTTACTAGTATAGAGATTTTGGCTCTACAGATTCTACGTTGAAAATGCTGTAAAAATACTGTATACGAGTGTACTGTACTCGTTTCTCTTAGCCCCAAAGGAAAACATTACGTTTTCATGGACCGAAAACCCCGCAGCCATTTATCCGAGACTTTATGACTCTCTCTCTCTCCATTTCCCTCTCCCTCTCTTGCTGTCAATGGAATGCGGTGGACACAGCGGGGAAAAGGACTCCGCTGGACTGGTACTGGTTCTGGTACACCTTTGGTCCACTCTATTATTTATTTATAGAGAAAGTTGGCAGGGCGTGAGGCCGTGAGGACGTCCCTTTGCTGCTTGGCCGCTCCTTCATTGTGTGACAAATGAATTTGGGTCAAAAGTTGTGCAAATTAAAAAAAAAGAAAAAAAAAGAAAAAAAAAGAAAAGAAAAGCAACAACAAAAAAAGGAGTCGAGAAAAACAAACCAACGAACAAAGAAAGAAAGTATCCTTGTGGTGGCTCCTCCATGTGGGTATGTCAAAGTTCCTTCAAACACGACCGAAAGATTCGTCTCGCCTTTGACCCCTGCCTGAATGACATTCAACTGGTCGAACAAATTGCAGTTTTATTTCCATTCACGTAGTTCCCCGACCCCAATCCCACACCACAGACACATGTGGAATGTTGTGGGGGCGGGGAGGGGGATGGTTGGCCCTTCCGAAAAATGTTACAAAAGATTTACGCCTCCGCCTCTGCAATCTTTTCCCCCCCATTCCCATTCCTGGGCAATGCCATTACTTTTTTTTTTTTAAGTTTTCTGGTTTGAGTAATGGATTAGATTTTTACTCACTTGTTTTTTTTTTTGGGAGGGCTCAGATAGTGCTGGGGTTTTACAGCACCCCCCTACCCAACCCAACCCCTACACAAAAAAGGGTATGCCTGTACGGGAATAAAGCTCTAAGAACTTTTTAGCCTGTCCATAGGATGGACATCCAGAACTTTGGTTCCACAAATTATGTTCCAATCAATGCAAAACAAACTGAAGGGGGAAACATCCAGTAAAATGGTACACCTTAGGCTCAGCATACAAAAATTCTACCCATGCTCGTACCGTCCAAGTCTTACGAATGTCATCTCTCGGCCTGGCCCACTTTCCCAGCCAAAAGTTTGGCCCACAAAATGTGTGTGTTTTCTGGAACATAGTAGTTTCTGATTCGTTTTGTCAGTTGTTCAGAGTTTTTTTTGGCCAGTTTTACATATATTTTATTGAGTTTCATTCCAGTCACAGTTCAGTAAGGTGTTCTAGTTTTTGTTTGTTTCTACTCGAATACTTTTCCGTGCTCTCGTTTATTCCAAAAAAACAGTTTCTTGTGTTTTGTGCACTTTGTTTTTTTGGTCAAGTAGTCGCCAACGCAGGGCGTTAAGTGTTTAGAGTTTAGAAATATTTATTTATAGTCAACGCTTTTGCGGTGCTACGTTTCAACTAAAATTCCGGCTTGCAGCTATTTACAGTTTACAGTGCAAAGAAGCGTATTAATTTACTCGTTCGTTCACTCGTTGCATGCTGATCGCTGATTGCTCTCGTTTGCCGTTTCCAAGGTGATAATCCCTGTGCAATATTTATTTATTTATTGCCTAAATTAATTATTTTCTTTTGCTATATTTTGCTATTGTTTTTATGATTTATTTTCGGTTGTTGAAGATGTTTACAAGTGTGATAACGCGTGCTGCTGCTGTCTCAATGACAGTTTACCTCAGCAATTACGTTGGTGTCTGGGGCGAGGCTTCGGATTCCGAACGCCTGCTCAAGCGCGTCAGTGAGCCCGTCAACCTCATGATCAAGTCGATGTCATCAACGGAGGCACTCAGCTGGCATGCTGATGACATCTTCAATCGGAGCGTCAAGAAGAGCTTTAATTTCATTGGTCATCTGCCCGAGCACATCTCGGATGCAATCGATGGCGCCAAAGTGGCCTGCACGATTATGAGCAAAGAAGCCAAGCTGGCCAATCAGGAGATGGCCAGCATCTTCCGTAACTTGTCGCATGTGGAAATGATGCGATTTTTGGAAATGTTGGAGCTGCGTCCCATTTCCAAAGACTCGCTTTATTCTGAGGGTTCAATCAAGAAAGCCGAAGAGAAGCAACGTCTGGAGGCAGACGAGGAAGCGACCGCAGGCCTCAAGCAGCAGGCCAAGGATGAGGCGGAGGCCGAGGCCGGGGCAGAGGAGGCGAAGCAATAACTTAATCGATTCATCCAACTGGAGTATGTGGCGGTTTTGTAAGCATCAGATGCACTCTCCACTAAATGACAACAATTCCCGGCTGCGAGCACAAAATCCCTGACTGAAAGACTGAACAAAAGTCCCTGACTGCGGGCAAAACCAGACTGACTGCGGCAAAACACTGACTGAACAAAAGATCCCTGACTGAACAAAAGATTCCTGGCTGAAAAAGATTCCTGACTGAAAAAGATCCCTGACTGCTGTGGCATAAAACTGCAGAAGTTCAGTCCTGAATATTCAATATTGGCACAATTCCAAGTAAAAATAATGCTTAAAATTCCCAATGAAATGTTAAATTCCAAAACAAAAATCTCTTGATAATTCTGTAACAAAATAATTCGATATATTAAACTCTTTTCGGACCGACGACCTGTAGCTCTTAACGTGTAGTGTTCGGGCCGCTTCCATTCTTATTTTTTTGTTGCCATTGTTTTCCAGACACACGGCAAACAGTGTCGTCAACAGTCTATTAAAATGCCAGTCGAGCCGCCCGCCAGTCGCAGCTACAGTCAAAGCCAAGCCGTGCGAAAAAGGATGTGCCACACCCCCAATGCCCATTCCTCCCCTAACCCAAAACCGAAGCGAATCCAATCCCATTCCGATAGAGAATTCTTGGGCTTATACTGTGTGTGTGTGTGTGTGTGTGGCCGGGCTGAACATGCGTTTTGATGTGACCCTTGCGGGGTCATAAAAAATTTCGTGGGGTTTCTTACCTTTTACCTTACGCCCTTCTAGGCCATTTCCTTATGCCACAGGGTACTCGTTGAAGCAGTAGGGCATACGCGTCTAGTTTAATGAATACGAATAATAGGTTTGTGGATATCTCGTGAATCTGAATGATCTGAAGCTAATACATATTTATTTAGCTTAAGTCTGGCCATCGACACTCGTCTTAGAATAAATACTTGGCCATACTTGGTGAAGTGAAAATTGAAAAAAACAATATTTCCATATCCCTTGGCACATCCTTGTGTTCTATCAGGCAGTGGGCTCTTCGGCTTTCCAGAGACTCCTCAGCCACTATCGAAAAGTATCTTAGAGTGCTTCGGTTGCAATGACTGCCAAGTGGCGTGGTTTCCAGGCTCCCAAAAAACGTTTGTTCATTTTTTAAATTATAATAGTTTCTTGTATAAAAACCAAACTGCAGACAATGTTTCTCTGGCTATAATTTTCTAAATAAATACATAAGTATAAAAACACGCGCATACGGGGTATCTTTAAGTCTCAATCCTCGACTTGTATCACATTTTCTTGCTATTTCGTTCTCTTGGGGTTCTTCTTTCTATTGTTCTTCGTTCAGGACTACGTTTAGACGGCTGTTTCGTGGTTTTTTCTTTGGTTTTTTTGTCGATTGATTTTGATCCGCTTTTATTGTGGAATGATAAACATCGAAGTCGAAGGCAATTTACAGGCTGGTGGATACGGTGGACTGTGGGCCATAAAAACCTTTGGTCTACAGGTGCGAGAGGCTAACCGAGCGATACAAGTGCCATTCGAGATGCTTCAAGTGGAATGGAGTGGAGTGTTTTGCATGGAACTACCTTTACGAATACAGCCCCTGGCAATCAGTAATTGTTTTACTGTAAAGAGAGTTTTAATCCCAACCACTTGATGTTAATTCCAATTGAACCGAAATACTGCCATCCAAAAGTACTTCTGACTCAGTTCAGTTCGTTTATCCATAGGCAACGCACCATTATATATAAATAAAATATTAAACTAATTATCCCAGAATATTTCCCAGACGGCAAAAAAGAGGCCACAAAGTTTATGGGGCCGATTGATAGCTGCATTCATTAGCTATTTAAAATTACAAAGCTCTTCGAATCTCGTTTTAGCATACTTTTCCAAAACAAAAAAACCCTTACCATATTTTATTATTAAAAAATAAATTAATTACATTAAAAAAAATGTTGCAGCCAAGTGGATTTGATGGGAGGGTTTTTGGCTTGTGCTATTTTTTTCTTTAATTTCTCGACCTAAATTCCCTTTCAATATTTTGTTGCTCGATTGCTCGATTCAATTCATAGCTTTTGGGATTTTCTTTCAATTCTATTTGATTTTCCACTTAAAACGTTGCCTTTCCATTCAAAACGCTTTTCACTTTGCTGTGTGTGTGTGTGTGTTTTTCCAACAAACATAATCCGCGTTGTATCTATTTACATATTTATCTGCAGTTTTGCGGGGGATTTATTTATGTGTGTGTGTGTGTGTGTGTGTGTGACTCCTGATAAAAGGATTCCCGTAGAAGCAGGAGAACTACGTGCCGCATCTTTTGGCTGACTCTTTAAACGCTTATGCCCTTAGATTTATAGTCAAGGATTTTATTTATGTCACCTCCTGCTTTCTTCTGCACCATTTTTCATGCGGTTTAGCATACAAAGTGCCTTGGTTGGAGAGGGAGCGGATCCTAGACCGTAGACCGTAGACCCGGCACTCCCAGCTCTTTTAAATGTTGCATAAAATCAATTTCCCCGAGCAAAAAACTTCAAGACGCTTGCTTGGGTTTGATGATGAGGTAAAAGTGTTGCAAGTTTATGTTGAATGGCTTTGGAAATGGCAGTCACAGCTGGCGCCCACCAAAAGGAATAGGGGGTGCGGGTGCGGGTGAGGGGGAGGGGGAGGTAGAGCCCTAGCTCTGCTGTCAAGAGGGCGGCGTCGACGGCGGTGGCACATTTGGCGCCCAGTCGTGCCACGTCTTGCATATTTAAGTTGGGCCAAAAAGCAGCACTGCCCCCCCCCCCCCATTGTCTTGTGGCTCCATCCAAGCAACCAACCCCCTGCCATGTGCATGATGTTTCCGTTTTAGTTGTTCTCCTTGTTACCTGAGTACTGGATACTGGATACTGGTAACTGTGTTCTGGGTATCCTGCCATCTGGGTATCCCCTGCGTGGGCATCCTGCCTTCATTAGCAGTCGCCCCACTTGGTCTCGCTCTCTTTCTCCTCTCTCTCTCTCTCTCTCTTGTTCTTTTGAATCTATATTTTCCTATTGCATTCATTTCCGTTCACTTTCAATTCACTTCCTGTCTGTCTTCCTGTCTTGCCGTCGTGCCGTCCGTCTGTCTGTCTGTCTGTCCGAATCCGTTTATTAATGAACACCCACTTGAAGTCCGGATCTTCACTTTATTCCGGGTCCGTTTACAGCGCTCCTGAAGGAGCAGCCAATTAGGAAAATGTTTATGTCTGTCTCTGTGTCTGTCTGTGTGTGTGTGAATATTTTGTGCTAATTTCCGTTTAATTGTTTAATATGTTGTTTGCATTTTCTATTAGCACATCTTTCCGGCATGCTCATTGTTCTGGCCCGGCAATAATTACCATTTTCTCTACTTTCGAGATGAGACTCCTGCACGGAAGTGGAGGATACTAATCGAGTTAATAAAATTAACTGCCAACGCTTGATGAGGGTCCTCCTCCATCCACTACAAACAATTTTAGAAGTGTTAAAGATGGCTGATGGCCATCCTCTAGATGGGTTAAGGGTTGTAACGATTCAGGCGCGATGGAATATGGGAGAAGGGCGCACGCATATAGTCCCGCTGGGAGGCTCGGCAAGTGGGGTGGTGATCTTGCCCCCCCCACCATGTGCCTATTCTCCTTATTGCGAGCCAAATTTGTGCGTGCTGCGACGAAATAATTCGGGGACCTAACATTACCAAAAACACACAATGTATGACTCTCCCTCTCTCTCTCTCGGTTGCTCTCAAGCCTTTCTTCCCCCTCAGGTCTCATGAGGTCTACCTCCCTTCCTTGGTCATTCCCGAATCACCTAACCTGGCCAGAATGACCCCATGGCTTTCCTGTGGGGACATCAGCTAGCTGAAGGCAAAACAAATAGGGAAATTAAAACATTATAAAATTTATTAACCTAAACATAAAATTCCGATCAACAAACTAATACCGAAAATGACATTGAGAAGAACAATAAATAAATTAACGTAAACTATGCAAAAGAAATAAATAATTTTAAATGTCTAAAAAAATGGCTTATAAAATGAACTGAGATGGATCTTCTTCGCGTGCGCTGCAATCATCGGACAAGGCAGAATGTGAGGAGCCGAAGTTCGAGAGAGTGCTAGGGTGCTGCTCTGAGCTGTTCTTTTTTCACAATTTAACTTTGCATATTCTGCCGATTTCACTCACCCTTATTTCCGGTTCACGATGAGCGCTTCTCGCGGATCCGGAGCTGTAGGGGTTTTTTGATAATATATGATCGCAAATACCCAAAAGACTCCATAGAAAAAATGGCAACCTTTTCCTCTCTCTTTTCTTCCCTGCTCACCGACACTCACGCTCTACACAAAACGGTTCGGCACTATTCACGTATCTTAGACTACTTTAACACATACTTTCTTTACCTAAATTTCTTCCTCCTTAATTCATATTTCTTTTACCCCCAATAACCAAGAATTTCCCAATCCCACAAATCGACCTTACGAGTTCCTTTGGCTGCTTTCGTTACGCACCTGAGGCTACCTTTTCTGCTCATTTTCTACTACTTAAACTAAAACGAAACGTAGGAAAGCACCAAAATGTCGCTGCGATGTCGCCCTCTTCGCCTGTCTTTTTTCGCTAAGGCATCAATCCAATAATTCTATATTTTTGCTTTTTTTTCCCCAATCTTCCCTGAGCCCTTTTTGGGTCTCTACGTTGAGGCTGTTTTCCCTCCAGATACTCTTTTGGACCGCCCCCAGCTGGGCTTTGAATGCACTCGGATGGCCGATCTCCGTTTTCTTTCCGCTCTCCTTCCGCAGCTTGAGCTGCTCCAAAGCCGCACCCTCTGCGGACGGAAAGTGGCCTTTAACGGGCTGAATCACAATCCTGTCTCCCCGAGCTTACCTCTGCTGGGAATTGGCACTTTACACTTCCAATTTTTCTTTCCTCTCGCTGCTAGTGGTTTCTCTGGTTTGCTCACTTTTAGCACTCTTGATATTTCCCACTGACAGCACTTGCAAAACT